GCTGGCATGTGGTGCTGGGGGATTGAACCGTGGTCCCTGTGCTTTGCTAAGCTTGTTCTAAGTAGGTGCTTTAGACCACTGAGCCATCTCACCAGCCCAGATAATGGTAATTTCACTTCCTCTTTTCCAGTCCTATTCTTTTTATTTCTCTCTTGTCTCATTGCTCTGGCTAATGTTTCCAGAACTATATTGAATAGCACTGGAAACAGAAGACATCCTTGTCTTGTTCTTGATTTTAAAATGAAGGCAGTTTTTACCCATTTAGTAGGATGTTGGCTGTTGGTTTTTCATAGATGGCTTACATCAGGTTGAATTATAAATTATCCCAATTCTCTGTAGGGTTTTTATCATGAATGGATGTTGGACTTTGTCAAAGCTTTTTCTGCATCTATTGGAATGATCATGTGGTTTTTGCTCCTGGTTCTGTTGATGTATATTACACTTACTGAATTGCGTACATTGAACCATTCCTGCATCATAGCAGTTGGTCATAATGTCATTGTTGTTGTCATCGTCATCATCATCATCGTCATCCTTCTGCTCCTCCTCCTCCTCTTCTTTTTGATGTATTTGGTGTAGGCTCTCACTACGCAGCTTGGACTCATGGTGATCCTCCCCAGTGCCGGGATTCCTGGTGTCAGTGGCAGGCTCAGCAGGCCTGGGGCAGGGTCGGTACAACATGTGGTGCCAGGGATTGAACCTTGGTTCCTGTGCTTGCCTAAGCAAGTTATCTCGCTGGTCCATGATGTATAATCTTGTTATTTGCTGGATTCTGTTTGTTAGCATTTTATTCAGTTATTTTGCATCTGTGTTTATTAGGGAGATTGGCCTATAGTTCTCTGTTTTACTTGGGTCTTGCTCTGCTTTTGTAATCAGACTAATACTTGCCACTAATATTGAATTTGGGGGAGAATTGCATCCTTTTCATTTTCATTGAAGAGTTTGAGAAAAGTTGGCACTAAACCTTCTCTAAATTTCTTGTAGAATTCTGCTATGAATCCATTGGGACCTGGGCTTTCCTTTGTTGGTAGGTTTTTATTACATTTTCAATTTTGTTGTTATTGGGTCATTGAGAGTTTGTGTATCTTCTTGACTCAGCTTTGGCATTTCACATATATCTAGGGAACTGTATTTCTTCTGTTTTTTTTTTTTTTTTTTTTTTTTTTTTTTTTTTTGGCGGAACCGGGGATTAAACTCAGACCCTTGCTCTTGCTAGGGAGGTGCTTATTCCACTGGGCCATCTCCCCGGCCCCATGTGCTTTTCATTTTGTGAGAGTAAAGGTTTTGGAAGTATTGATGATCTAAATTTCTGTAGTATCTGTAGTGATTTCTCTCTTTTCAGTAATTTTAGCATGAATTTGGGTTTTTCTTCCTTTTTTTGTTTAGGTTGGCTAGAGGTTTATCAATTTTATTCTTTCAGAGAGCCAATACTTTGATTTATTTATTCTTTGTATTGATTTCTTCATCTCCAATGCATTCATTTCTGCTCTAATCTTTATAATTTCGTGCCTTTTTTGGGCTTTGGTCTTGACTTGCTCTTGTTTTTCTAGGAGCTTGAGGTGCAGCATAAGAGCCTTTATTTGAGCTTGTTCTATTTTCCTAATGTGAGAATGTACTGCTCTAAATTTTTCTCTTAAGACAGCTTTCGTTGCATCCCACAGCTTTCAGTCGGTTGTATTTGCATTTCCTTCTGATTGTAAATATTTTTTAATTTCTTCTTTAATTTCATGTGTGACCCACAGGTTGTTTTGGAGGATGCTATTTAATTTCCATGTGTTTATGGTGTTTCTGTAATTCCTTTTGTCAATAATTTCCAGTTTTATTGCATTGTGGTCAGATAGTATACATAAGATAATTTCTTTTTTTTATTTTATTTATTTTTTTTGTTTTTATTTTTCAACAAATAATACACTGCATATATTCTTCTTAGTGGTTAATTGCTGTACAAGATGCGGACTTGTTGGGGCACTTGAGATGGCTCAGTGGTCTAAAGCACCTACTTAGAACAAGCTTAGCAAAGCACAGGGACTGCGGTTCAATCCCCCAGCACCACATGCCAGCCAGCCCCGCCCCCTGGTGGGCTGAGCAGGCCACACACACACACACACACACACACTCACACACAAATAAATAAATAAATTAAAAAAAAACAAGATGCGGACTTGTGATCCTATTTACAAACACCATTAGAACAAATCATTCTATTCATTAACAGAATGTAACTATATATCTATCCCAACCACTTTGAATACACAGCATAAGATAATTTCAATTCCCTCGTATTTTCTGTGTGCTAGTATATAGTCTATTTTGGAGAATGTCCTGTGTGCAGCTGAGAAGAGTGTGTATTCTCTTATTGCTGGGTGAAACACTGTAAAGGTCTACGAAGTCAATTTCTTCACAAGTTTGGTTTAGTTCTGTTATTTCTTTGCTGATTTTTGCCTAGTTGATCTACCTCTTTGTGACAGTGGCATGTTAAAATCCCCTATTACTATTGTATTATTGCTCTTTTGACTTTTCATATCTATTAAAATTTGTCTTATGTGGGTTAGTGGCCTTACTTAGGGTGCATATGTATTTATAATTATCTTTTCCCCTGCAGTTTTCCCTTAACAAGTATTTAGTGATCTTTATCTTTTTGAATGATTTTTGATTTGAAATTGATGTTGTCAGCAACCAGGATAGCTACCACACCTGTTCCTGATTTCTTGTGGCATGGAGGATTTTTTCCAATCCTTTGACTTTTAGTCTGTGTATTTCCTTCTGAGTTAAATGTGTTTCTTATTTGCCGCATATTGTTGGATTTTGTTTCTTAATCCACTCTGCTAGTCTGTTTCTTTTGATTGGTGAATTGAGGCAGTTTTACATTGATGGTTATAACTGATACATATTGGCTTATCTTCGTCATGTTATTTTCTTGCTATAGATTCCATACTTTTCCCCTCTTTATAATTACTTGCTCTGTTTGGTGGTTCTTTTCTGTTGTTGTTGAAGCTGTGGTCACTTTTGTCTCTTTCTAGTATCTATCAGTACTCTTAGTAGGGTTGGTTTGGTGGTCATGAATTTCTTCAGTTCTTTGTCATGGAAAGATCTTATTTTCCTGTTGAATTTGATAGTTTTGCAGGATATCAATCTGGGTTGGAAGTTATTTTCTTTCAGGACCTGAAATACTTCACTGTACAGTCTTCTTGATGGATATTTGATGGTTTGTGTTAAGAAATCTGCTGTGATTTTGATGGGCTTTCCACGGTAGGTGATCTGTTTCTTTTTAGAAGCTTTTAATATTATTCTATTCTTTTGTGGAATTTCTGAGACCTTGATTATTGTGTCTAGATGTAGATTTATTGTGATTATGGCTGTGTGGAGGTCTGTATGCCTTGCTTAATCTGTATGTCAAGTTCTTTTCTTATGTTTGAAAAATTTTCTGATAGTACTTCTGCAAATAGCCTTTTATATCATTTGTGCTGTCTCTAAGTGCTTCATTGACACCTACTATTCTTATATTATTTTTCTTAGCATCTCTTCTAACTGCTGAATTGTAATTTTCTAATTCCTTGTTTTAACTGGTTTTGGCTGCCCCGGTGTCTTCGAGGTGTGAAATAAGTTTTTTGGGTTATATGAGTCCATCTTTAGTTTCATTCAAGTGGTTTTGCCTGCTTTCAGGGGAGTTCTTAATTTCCTGAATATCTGTTTGGATCTGTTTCATGCATTCTAATTCTTTCCTGTATTGTTCATTCACTGTTTTCCATCATTTTTCTATTCTCTTCTATTTTATTTATTTATTTATTATTTATTTATTTTTTTTTTTTTTTGCGGAACCAGGGATTGAACTCAGGCCCTTGCACTTGCCAGGGAAGTGCTTATTCCACTGAGCCATCTCCCTGGCCCCTATTTTTTTAAATCTATGTTTTTAACTGTGTTGAGCTATTCCTTCCTGATTGTTGTCATTTCTTTTTGGACCTGAGTGATTCTTTCTGGTCTTTTCTTCTGTAGCCTGATGGACTTATTTCTTCACTTGAGTTGCTATCATTTCAAAGATTTCAGGTGTGTGATTGCCAAATTCTTAAGTCTGTAACTTTTTTCTTTTTTTTGCACCAGGAATTGAACTCAGGACCTTAGGCTTGCCAGGCAGTCGCTGTGCCACTGAGCTATATTCCTGGCCCTGGGCTAGAGGATTGAGATTGCCTTTTGCTTCTGTGTTTTGCCATTTTTGAAGCTCTCACTAATCACTCAGACAGAGTCCTGCAGGGTGCCCAGAGTCCGCCAGTGTTCTTGAGTGGCTCCAGCAAAGCTCCACACCTGCTTGGGGGGACCCTCACATCACAGCTCTCCTGCATCCCACCGGCCACTCAGAGTCCTCCTCAGTTCTTACAGGTTTGGCCTGGCAGCATCAGAAGCTCCGTTCCTGTGCGTTGGAAGCTAAGGCCTTTAGTGATTGATTAAGTGTCTACTGGTATTATTATTAAGTAGTAATTAAATTTTCAGTAATATCATTTCCTCACTACTTACTCAGTGCCAGTGTTACTCTTTTTTTTCTTAAAGTATTACTGTTTAATCTTTGTTAGTCTGGTAGGTGAAAAGATATATACAATGTATTTCTTTGTAGATGTTAGTAAGATTTTGATTCCTTTTATATGTTCATTGATCATTTGAATTTTTTACCTGTTTGTATTTATTTGTGCCTGTGTCAGCTTTTCTTATCAAGTATTTTTCTTTAATAATTTTTAAAATAATCTATTCAGTGAATGTTTGCTATGTGTTAGACACTGGTCTAGGTCATAGAGGTACAAGAATAAGAAAGTAAATTGTGGAACTGGTACCACATATTAAGGATTTTAAATCTTTTTATTGTGTAGATTGAGGGTTTTTTGGGGGGGTTACACTGCTACTATATTTGCTATTGAACTTTAGATATAAGCGTTTTTTTTTTCTTTCTTTTTTTTTTTTTATGCACTGAGCACCTCAGTCTTAAAGAGTTACAGATTATTTCTTGCCAGAGTAGTTTTAATTTTGTGGGTTTTTTTAATATACTTAAACTATTTTACATCTTTTATACACATTTATATATGTATATGTGTGTGTGTGTGTGTGTGTGTGTGTGAAATGGACAATTATTTCAACATTTTCCTTGCTTTATTTAAAATACTGCGTTTAATACATACTGAATTTCTATACACAGTTTTATTAAGTTTCATTCTGTTGATTCAGTTAGTCCCCTTCAAATATTATGCTGTTAGGGACTGGACATATAGCTCATTGGCACAGTGCCTGCCTGGCAGGTGCGAGGTTGTGAGTTCAATTCCCAGTAAAATAAATTAGACTGTGATTGTAGGTAATTAAATACTGATTGAAATGAGTGTACTTGATAAAAACTGTGCACCATTGTTCCTCCTCCAAAATATTCTTTTTTTTGTTGCTTTTATTTTTTAGAGTCAGGGTCTTTATAGTTCAGGCTGGCCTTGAACTCACTGTCTCATCCAGACTGACATTGAACTTGTGGTGGTCCTCCTGCCTCAGCCTCCTGAGTGCTGGATTTACAGGCCTGCATCACCATGTCTGACTTAGAATATTCTAATTTTTGTGTATTACTCTAGATAGAATTTACAGCCAGTTTTTATTACCTTTCCTGCAGTGCTCCACACAGAGAACCTGATTAGGATTGGTTTAATGTATTGATTAGCGTAGGAGGATTAAAGTATTTACAGATTTTTTTGTGTGTGTTCAAGAATACATCTTGTGATTTAGGATAACTTTTGTTCCTAAGTGAAGTTTTACAGTTTTCTGTGTTTGGACTTGTATGTATGTTCTTGTGGTACTGGGGATTGAACCCAGGAGATCCACACTGAACTCGCATCCCTACCTAGCTCTTTCAAAATTTTTATTTTAAACAGGGTCTCATTTCATTGCCCAGGGTGGGCTTGAACTTTCAGCCCTCCTCCTTTAGCCCCCCAGAGCCTTGGGTTTGTAGGCATTTGCCTCCATGCCTTTTTATTAAGTTTATTTTTAGTTCTATAGTTTTAGTAAAGTGTTTTGTTTTTTTACATGGGTGTTTTATTTCCTTATTTCATAATCTTTATTTGCTATCAAATTTCTTTTCTTTTCTTTTCTTTTTTTTTTTTTTTTTTTTTTGGGCCAGGGATACATCTCAGCATTGCAGTGCCTACTTGGCAAGCATAAGGTCCTAAATTTGATTCCTGGTATCTCCCACCCCATTCCTCTTTTTCTTTTCTTTTTCTTTTTCTTTCATTCTTTTTTTTTCCTTATTCTTTTTTTTTTTTAATGTATTTAGTACAGGGTTCTCCAGGGTCTCACTACACAGTTCAGACTCGTAGTGATCCTCCTGTTTTCAGCCTTCCAAGAGCTGGGATTACAGGCTCTCACCACCACGCCTAGTCTGCCGGCTCAGCGCATCCCAGGGGCAGGGCTGGCACATCTTTTTTCTTAAAATGGATGATTTCAGTTGACACTGTATTTTAGGCTCAAGTAAGAGAAAATATTTACCATCTTCATTGAGAATTTGGTTCTCATAGTTGTCCTACATAGTATGACTTACACATGAAACTGTATTACACATGAAACTGTATCGTGTGTGTGTGTGTGGGTGTGGGTGTGGGTGGGTGTGGGTGTGGTGCTGGAGATTGAACAGTAGCCTCCTGCATGCTAGACAGGTGCACTACCGCATAGCTACATGCCCAGTCCCCTCAGCAAGACATCTGTTAACTTGGAGTTCTTTTTCTTTGTTGAGTGTTAGTTCTTGAGTGCATGGAATACCATAAAAAATATTAAAAATGGATCTAATACCTCAAATGCTTCAGGTTACTTTACCTTTGGTTGTTTTTAATAGTTTCTATTTTGATCCTTAGACCAGCGTCACCTGGGGGAAATTAAAAATATAAACCCCAAGCTTCCACTGCAGACCTGCTAAATCAGAAAGTTTGGGGAAGGGGCCCAGCGATTTGTGTTGCAGCGTATCTTTTGGGTGATTTTGATCCTTGCTACAGTTGGGGAACCCCTGATTTAAACTAAAATAACTTGTCTCTAACTTAGGAGTAGTGCTTGTGCTGTGCGATTGTCAGAAGCAGATCAAGAGGGGTGTCGCTGGCTGTGCGTGAACCGCTCTGCAGCGTGCAGCTCGCTTGGCAGCAGCTTACACCCCCTCCTGCCCCACTGCTCCAGCTGTGTCCTGTTTATTCCTCATAGTCTCAGCTGCCAAGCAGGTCATGGCTTCAGAGTTTGTATGTTTTGTCACGTGCTAACTGGCCTTCATAGATACAAATAACTGCGTAGGATGAGCGGAAAGATAGAACTTTGTGTAAAATGTGGTAAAAGATGTTTCATAATGTTTTTGCATTAATGAAGGAAACAACCTTGTTAAATGCTTACTTTTCTAAGTAGTTTTGAAGGCAGTGTAAATAGTGTGTTTTCTTAATTTTTTCAATATTAGATGTTGAAAACATTTTTGTGTCTAAGAATCAAAGAAGTAGAAGTGAAAAAAGACACAGAGGACATCAATAAACCAAAAAAGTTCATGACTTTTAAGGAAAAAAGAAAAACTCTATCAAGGATGCAGAGAAAGGTTTGGTTTGATTTATTTCCTTTTTATTTAAATTGTTTCATTAGGGGCTGGTGAGATGGCTCAGTGGTCTAAAGCACCTACTTGGAACAAGCTTGGCAAAGCACAGGGACCGCGATTCAATCCCCCAGCACCACATGCCAGCTAGCCCTGCCCCCTGGTGGGCTGAGCTGGCCACACACACACACACACACACACACACACATAAATAAATGTAAAAAAAAAAAAATTTAAATTGTTTCATTAAGGGCCAGGGAGATAACTCAGTAGAATAAGTGCTTACCTGGCAAATGCAGGGTCCTGAGTTCAATCCCCGGTACTGCAAAAAAAAAGTTTCATTTAAATATGTTGTTTTATTGTTTTCTTTCATTAAAGTCTTCGTCTAGGCGGAAGTAAGTCACAGTTAACATGCAGATACGAATTGGACATCTGGGTGGCAGACGTGGCGGTGTGCACGCCGTGTGGGAGGCCGAGGCGGGGCACCTGAGCCTAGTGCAGGCCCGTATGGGCGCTTAGCGAGACTGTCCCAGAAGGATAAGAAATGAATGAAATGGCATTTTTGAAATTTAGTAGTGAGAGTTTCTTTCTCCTACTTACAACAAAGAAATGTTTTGTTAAGTCAGTTTGAACTGACAGCTATTGGCAATGAGAATAATGTGTGGAGAGCTGCTTTTCCGTGGGGGCTTTTATCCTTTGGGCTTTTTGATCAGCGTGCAGTCGTCGGGATTTGCAGATGTTTCCTAGTAGAGCAGATAGCGCTTCTGGGAAGGGGAGAGCAGTGCGATGCTTGTGATTGGTTAGAGCTGTGGCCTCTTGTTAATTCTAGGTTGAGGTTCCAGTCTCTTGTTACTTACTGAGACTTCGGAAACTTTTTTTTATTTTTAAAGGAATAAGGCTAATAATACCTTACAGGGTCGTTACACATGTGTGTAAAGCACTTTGTCCTCACTTATCATGTCTCAAACTATTTCTAAACCGTTAAGGCTAGGAAATGGATTGTGAAAATGAAAGTAATTTTCAGGGATTTCCATCTTTAAATTGGTGTGATGAATTATGAAAACATAGAAGTATCAAAATAAAACCAATAATTATAAGTGATAACTAATAATGGTAAATGAAGATAAATATATTGGGATACTATAAATACTGAAAATAAGTTTGCTGTAGCACATAAATAGCTGTTGTGGGGGTTGGGTGGTAACAAAGACCCCGTAAAAACACTGTACCTCCTAATTTACCTTGAGGGGAAGAAACTTCCTAGGTCAGTTCCCTGTCGCCACTGGCAGGCAGCTTGGCGACCATTGTTTGCTGCTCTTCCAGCATTAGAAAGTGGGAGGACAGTGGTTACTTTATAGAGAGAGATTGAGAGAGCGCAAGCACTGCCTATGATGGTCGGCTCAGCCGTGTGAGGGCTGTGTAGGCTGAAGCCTGTGGGGGATTGTTAGCACTAGAAATTATTTTTGGGCTCAGCACTTTTCTAAAACAAATTTAATGGAAATTTTAGAAAATGCTAGCATACCCCACGTACCTACTATTTAGAATGAGCGAGGGACATAAGAATTAAGGTGAGTAACGTACATGTGCCAGTGCCTCATCATGAAGGTAATCATTATGTACCACCAACATACATTCATAAGAAAGTGGGCAAATGTTAGTAGGTTTTTTTTTTTTTTTTTTTGCAAGAAGGAAGCATTGAGGTAAACGTAGGAATTTCCTGTTTTACTCTCTAATCTTGTTCTTCTGTTTTCCCAAAAGGCAGCCATCTTTATAAATTAGATTTTGGATATGTATCTTATCCATGTTTATATTTATATTCATAGACTATGTGGTCTTGTTTTATGTGTCTTTTAATGTTGACATTTTCTTTCTGCTCTTTTTAGTTAGAGGTACATACTCTTACATACTCTTTCTTGTTTTCAGTGGAAGAAAGCAGAAGAAAAACTAGAGCGAGAGCTGCGAGAGGCAGAAGCTTCAGAGAGTACTGAGAAAAAGCTGAAGCTGGTAGGCAGTTGCACATTCTGTTATGCCTTCTAAATGTTGAGTGAATTTAACACATTTATTGTTTCAGCTTGTGGGTATATAATTTTGATTTTTTTTCATGATGCTTCAGTGATTTTGTGATGTGTAAGAAGCTGATGTGTGATCTCCACTAGTTTTAATCATCAGATGCATATCTTCATACTGTTTCTAAATTCTAAAGATTGAATTGTGGGGAGGGAAGGGAAGGAAACAAGATTTAGCTTTGGAAGTCATACTTCAGTTTGGGGAAAGCACGTCAGATGATCCTGCAGTGACCTGTCTGTTTCCTCTGCCAGCACACGGAGACTTTGAATATTGTGTTTGTGACCTACTTCAGAATATTGAAGAAAGCTCAGAGGTCGCCTCTCCTGCCTGCAGTTTTAGAAGGTCTTGCCAAGTAAGGGCTGTGTAGGTTGAAACCTTTCAGATTTTTTCTAAATAGATAAATCAAAGTAATCATGAATTTTAAACAGGCTTCCCTAATAATGTCCTAGTGTCTTCAGTCCACATTCTCTTTTTGTCACCAGTCTTCTCTTGAAACTCTTATAATGGCTGTTTTGGTTTCTTCCTCTTAGACCTTTCATTTTAAAAACTCACTCAGTGCTGGCGAGACAGCTTAGCAAACTAAATGCCTGCTTAGGCAAGTACAGTGGCTGAGGTTTGATCCCCGGTACCACATGCCTGCCAGTCTTACCCCGAGGTGCACTGAGCTGGCCATCAAGACCAGGAGTGGTGGCACATGCCTGTAATCCCAGCGCTGGGGAGGCTGACAACAAGAGGATCACTACGGTCCGAGCTGTGAGTCCAAGCTGCGTAGTGAGACCCTGTACCAAATAAAAACAAAAAAACTTCTGCCTAGGAAATTCTAGGTATGCCTGCGGCTCATTTGTCACTTCGGAGTGTTGGGCCACTTGGGTTGATCATGAACACTGGCTTCGCCGGCCTTGCTTGTCCCCTCTGGTCCCGTGCACTCTGTTCGTGCTGAAGTCGGGCTTTGTACGTATTGTACCAGCGCTAGTCACTTCTTGGGAATGTGAGGTCATGACTGTCAAGAGAGCTTTTCACAATTAAATTGAAGGTAGTACCCTGTAGAACACTGCTAGTCAGTAGAAATGTAATGTGAACTACATACACGACGTAAGAACTTTCCGTTAGCCGCATTTAAACAGTTACAAACAGGTAAAATTAATTTCAATGTAATTCGTTAAATTTGATTTACATAAAATCTGTTTTAAAATACAGTCAGTACTAAGTAAACCTTACTGAGCTCCGTGGCGTCTGTTTTTGCAAAACTTGTCTGAACGTTGGTGTATATTTTACACTTAGATACAGCTCAGTTTGGCCTGCCATTGTGGGGAAGTACAGCTTTAGAAAGAGAAGTAGGAGGAATAGCCAGAGGATACAGAGCAGGCAAAGCATTTCTTTCTAATGATTGGAGCTGTTCAACTGTGGGGTGCATATCTTTATAAGGTAATGTCCCTGGAACTGAGAATCTTCAAAGGAAGGCTGATTAAAGGGTTTACATGTGATACTAAGACTTGCTGTTTGTTTTTTTATTCTTTATTTGTTTTTATATTGTGGACAGGGTAGACAGGGTAAACAGTCGCACTGCATAGATCAGACTTGTAGTGATCCTCCTGTTTACAGCCTCACAAGTGCTGGGATTACAGGCGCACGCCACCACGCCCAGTCTCAGTCACTGACCCAGCACCCCCCCCCAGGTGGGGGGGCGGGAGTTGCACAGCAAGCCAGACTCTCTAAGCAGGCACTTTAATCCACTGAGCTATTTGGCTGGCCCTATTTAATTATTTTTTAATACATGCTCATTTAAGTAATAGTGCAGAAGAATGTAAAAATGTAAAATTCTTCCCTTATGAATGTGTGTATTTTCTGTCTATTGGCTTTTTTTTTTTTTTTTTTTTAACATGAATAGAATCATGCTTTGTCTTTAACTTGCTTTTTTAGGGAGGTAAGCCCTGGGTATCTTTCCATGTTAGCCTATATAGTTTACTTAATTTTTAAGTTCGTAATACTCCATTTTATTTCTGTGAAGGCTTACTTGGCCATTCCCTGGATTATGTTATGGGTAGAAATGCTGATTTATAAACTACATGTCTTTATGTGTTTAGATATATAGAATACCATTTTTAAAAAAATGGTATTCTTATTTTATATTCTGCTAAATGATGCCAAATTGCTTCTGACAAAAGTGGTACCAATATGTATGGAATAAATCACCTCTAAGGGTATCATTTTTGCTGTTTTTCTTTGTTGAGGATTTACATAGCATCAAAACCCTTAACTAGTATTGTAGACATGTCCTGACTTTAACCTACTCTGGTGCCTAATATTCCATAGTGTACGGAGCAGTCTCAGATTTAGTAGCTCCTATAATTGTTTAATTCTACTGATGGCCTCAGTTCTTTGTAGAAATAGTGGTTCAGGACAGCCCAGTGACTTCTTTGGGTTTATAGTGAGTACTGCAGCCTGAACTGGACACCAGGCCCAGTATTCTCTCTGCTTTTATTTTCAGAGCTGTCGTAGAGTTCATAGTCTCCGTTATCAAAGGGACTGAACACAGGGCCCTGTGAGTGTTAGGCACACACTCTCTGCAGAGCTGTTCCTTCAGTTGTGAGTGCAGACCCTTCTCACTCTTTTCAGTTTCCTGGAAGCTGATTCTGCTGCCTCCTTTGTGACTTAGAACACTGCTGAACCTAGTAAACGTTCCTCAGGGATGTTTGTTTTTAACAGCCTCTTAGGACAGAAGTATTTTTAAGTACTTTTAATTTATTTTGTGCCTCATATATCCCTACTGAGTGTAATACTCAACATTATGTGAGCCGGGCATGGTGGCGCATGCCTGTAACCCAAGCACTCAGGAGGCTGAAGCAGGAGGATTGTTGCAAGTTCTAGACTGGCCTGGGCTACAAATGAGCTCAAGGCCAGCCTGAACTGTATCATAGCAAGACCCTGTCTCAAAAAGATAAAAACAAACTGTGTGAATTGTTGAAGAAGCCAGTATGAATTAATGAAAACTGTTGATAATCATCATTATTTCGATCACACCTAACATTTGAAAGGCGTATTAAAAATACAGATTTAAAGTCACGTTTTACTTTTACCTGATTGATTTCTGCTTTTAACTAACTTTTGTTTGATTCTAGGTTTGCTCACCTTATAAATGTGGAATTTTTTGATGATTTATTAGTAGTTCTTCATACGCTCATTGAATCTGGTGTAAGTAACTCTACTCATGTATTAATGAATTACTTTTTAAAGGTACAAATGACAGTCATCTTTCTTTCTGTGTTTTTCTCTTTTGAGGTACTGACTTTGAAACGGGGGCCTTAGACATGTTAGGCAAACTCCTCATCATTCGTTTTTGTTTGTTTTTTGGTTTTGTGGTATTGGGGATTGAACTCAGGACCTTGCGCTTGCCAGGCAGGTGCTTATTCTACTGAGCTATCTCCCCGGCCCTCATCATTCTTATAATCTCTCTCTCTCTCTCTCTTTTTAAAGGACTTAAGCTATCAAGAAAGTCTTCACTGTGTGCAGACTGCTTTTCATATTCTTTCTGGGCAAGGTAAGGTATTTCCTTATTTAAGTTTTACTTGCTTTATCTTTGGAGGCTACGACATACCTAATTTGTGTTTATCATTTCAAAGGTGATGTTTTGAATATCGATCCAATGAAATTCTATACACATCTCTACAAAACACTGTTCAAATTGCATGCAGGTGAGTGTAGTCATTTTATTTTCCTTAGTACTTTTTTACAGTCCATAATGATTGTGTTCCTTGTGAGGACTTGGTGCAGGCACGCAGCACACCCCAGTTCCTGCTTTCATTCTCCTGTGCTCTCCCTCTGCTGTGTATGTATAGTGTTTCCTTACCACTATCTGCAGCGGGTATGCTGTGAACAGTGTTACAGTCCGTGAGAAGTAAGATACGGCACATGAAATGCTGGTCTGCCAGTGCTGCATATCTGAGAGAGAACTTTTGGAAGTGGCAGGAAATGCAGTTAATACTACCTGTTGCCTCTCTTAGGGCTGCTTATTGGCTAGACAAAGGGCGTGGGACAGGCATGACAGTTCATTTTTTTTTCCTGAAGTTCAGTGAGGTTGCATAATGAAAAAGCCCTGAAGAATCGACCTGTTGTTTTAGGTGCTACCAACGAAGGTGTGGAGATTGTACTGCAGTGCCTCGATGTCATGCTGACCAAGCGCAGGAAGCAGGTTTCTCAGCAGCGAGCCCTCGCCTTCATCAAGCGCCTTTGTACCCTGGCTCTTCAGGTTCTGCCGAACTCGAGCATTGGCATTTTGGCAACTACTAGAACATTAATGCACGTACGTAGTAAGCGGAAAGAGCAGTGCTTTGTGCTTAGAGTGCAGTGCCGTTGCTGGGCCCTCTTTTACTTCCCATCTTGCAGTATCATTTCAGTTGTAAAAGTAATTCCTGTGTGGGTGGAATAACGGATACATCCCTGCTACCTGGGAGGTGGGCACACTTGGGCTTAGGGGCTCAAGGCCAGCCCAGGCAGCGGGAAAAGCCCAGTGTGCTTGACTTATTGTGTGCTGGGGATTGAACATAAGGCCTTCCCACTGAGCTGTACACCCAGCCCTCGTAATGTCTCTACCAAGTTGCCAAGATGCCTAGACTCTGCTCAAACGTAGGATGCTCCTATCTTAGCCTCCCATAGCGCTCGGGTGACAGCTGTGCACTACCGTGTTTGGCTGAGCACCCAACCTTGTTTACAGGTAACATTTTTTTTTGGGTACTGGGAATTGAACTCCTGACCTTGTTCTTGCCAAGCAGGCCATTGAGCTGTATTCTCAGCCTTTGCCCAGCTTTTTTTTAAAGAAAAAGTAAAGTAATTGGTAACATAATCAGGTGATAAAGGAAGTACATAAAATCACATGAGGAGAGGCATTTTAATTCCACTGACATTCCCCAGAGGTAACTCTTACTACCACTTAGTGGCTGTCCTTCATGTAGGTACTTTTTATTCACGTGTAAACACATGCACCATATAAACAACACAAGTTACATTTTTGTGTCAGTACTAATACTCCTATTTATCTTTTAATGATGAAGGTTTATTCGGTTCTTTGTTTAACAAATACGTATTTCTTAACTATGTGCCTGCCAGTGGTTTTTTTTTTCTCTGTACCAGGGATCAAACTCAGGACCTTGTGCTTGCTAGGCAAGCGCTTATGCCGCTGAGCTATCTCCCCGGCCTCTGCCAGTGTTCTAACTGCTTTACAAAGATTAACTAAATTAATTTTTATAGTTGAGGTGGGTATCATTACTATTTCCATTTTATCAATGGAAAAACAGATCCAGAGAAGATAACTTGCCTACAGTTAATACCAGTTAGTAGAAGTGGGATTCAGGTTTAGGTAGTTTGACTTTTTGTTTCTCTGCGGGTCTCTTGATAGATACAGATAACTGCTATTGTTATTATAATTAATACCAAGGGGAATTTTTTATATGTGTCTGATGAAAGTATTTCTATAAGATAGATTCCTGAAGAATATTTTCTTTTGTAAGACAATAAATTCAAATAAAACACGAGAGTCTTTGTAACTTTTGTCTTTTGTAATACAAATTTTTCTTATTAAGCTAAATAGAGGCCAGGCATGGTGGTGCACCTGTAATCCCAGCACTAGGGAAGGTAGGCAGGAGGATCACTGCAAGTTCAAGGGCAGCCTGGGCTACATGGTGGGCTCGAGTCCAGCCTGAACTTCATAGTGAAACCCTGTCTTAAAAGAAAAATGAAAAAGCTATATAGAAAAGCCTCACACTTATAGCTAGCTTATATACAGCCATCAATTTGAATGAAGTCCAAGTACAGACTAATAAAATTCTGTCAGTTAACAGTTTTAATTCAGTTCTTTTTTTTAATGTGACATTGCAGACTTTCCCGAAGACGGATCTGTTGCTTGACAATGACTCTCAGGGCAGTGGGGTTTTCCTGCCCGAGCTGGATGAACCCGAGTACTGCAACGCACAGAACACTGCGCTGTGGGAGCTGCACGCGCTGCAGGTGAGAGGCCCTGTCTGCAGCGAACGCCTGCCCAGTGATGGCCATTGTGTGTGGAGCTGCCTTTTTGAGAGCTCCGGTTTTAATGCTGTTATATTTGCTTTGCGCTATTCCTTTTTTTAAGTTATTAAAGATGTTTTCTAAGGGAGCAAAAAGCGGTGAGGGTTTTTGTGGGTTGAAGTTATGAAAGAGTTATAAAATATTTCCATAGCACTGACTTAGAGCTTAAGAAGCTTTGCTATCAGGTATATCTGTATTGGATCCTATTCAAGGAGGCATCAGTAGGTGGCTTCACTCACGTTCTGTATCAGTGGAATGGGCTTCATACAAAATAGGAATATCAGGTAACCTGCTCTGAGCTACCTTTAGCTCAGAAAACAAATTGCTTTTTGAGGGCTTTTTTCTAATACTATAGTAGCAAGACTATGTAACCCTTGATTTGATCATGAAAAAGATTTGTATTTTAATTCTTTAAACAAAGGTAATACTCAGGTAGTGACATTTGCAAAAATAGGGTTGTCTTGTTTCCTCTTCAGAGACATTACCATCCCATAGTGCGGAGGTTCGCAGCTCACCTCATTGCTGGAGCGCCTTCTGAGGGCTCTGAGGCGCTCAAGCCGGAGTTGAGCCGAAGGTATCATTCAGCATTCTTTTATTTCTTGGGGGGCGGGTGGGCGAGTGTAAGTGTGTATGTATGTGGTGCAAGGGCTTGAACCCATAGCATGTCTTAGTCTTCTTTTTATTTATTTCTTATTTTTTTATTTTTTGGTGGAACCGGGGATTGAAATCAGGCCCTTACGCTTGCCAGGCAGACGCTTATTCTACTGAGCCATCTACCCAGCCCCGCATGCCTTAGTCTGAAAGTATAACATTCAGGGCTATCATAGAGCTGTATGGTGGAGCACTTGCCTGTGATGTGCAAGACTCTGTTGCTGTCAGGTATTTGTATTTCTGGTACCACAAGAAAATTAAAGCAAAAAGACCAAGATTGGGGCTGGGGAGATGGCTCAGTAGAATAAGCGCTTCCCTGGCAAGCACAAGGTCCTGAGTTCAAGCCCCGGTTCCACAAAAAAAAAAAAAGAAAAAGACCAAAATCTAGCAAATTAAGCTGATAGTTACTTACTTTGTTATGTAAAATTATTATTATTATTATTTTTTGCGGAACTGGGGATTGGACTCAGGCCCTTGTACTTGCCAGGGAAGCACTTATTCTACTGAGCTATCTCCCCGGCCCAGTTATGTATTTGTAAAGTACTAGATTATAAAGTGTAAAGTGAAAAAATGTAAAGTTAAAGTTGGGTGCCTGGTTTTGGCCTCATTTGTATTTCTGAGTTGTTCTATAGAGAGAATATGTGAGGTGTTAATTTTACTCGTTTGTATTGGATAATTACTCAAAGCTTTTAAAAATGGAACTGTGAAGTTTCACACAGGAAAAATAATAGTAGTGAAATCATACCTCATGTTTCAACAATTAGTAAGATATTGCCTTGGGGCTGGGGAGATAGCTCAGCAGTCTAAGCACCTGCCTGGCAAGTGCGGAGCCTGGGTTTGATCCTCGGTACCTCATGCCGTGCTGGCCCCCGGAACTAGATGGTGGTACACACCTGTACTCCCAGTGCTGGGGAAGGTGAGACAGGAGGATCACTATGAGTATGAGCTACATAGCAAGATCCTATACCAAATAAATAAGTAAAGATTAAAAACAAAAAAAAGATACTGCCTTTATCTACAAATGGTCATCCTTGCTTCCTTCTTTTTCATTTTTCTTTTCTCTACATTTTGCTTTATTCACTTGAATACATATGTCAGAAAGACAGCACATAAGCAGGGAGGGAGAAAAGGGTGTTTCACTCTAGCGACTTCTTTCCTTGGCCTTAGTGGGAGTACCTCTCAGTTACGAGGTGCTCAGATGGATCCTTCCTCTGTCTGCTTCCAGTGAGGAAAATGGTTCTTCCTGGAAGAATTTTCTATCCCCCTGGTTTTAGTCTGAAAATTTTCAAAAGTTGAAAGAATAATCTTTTTTCCTACAAAATTAGCAAAAACTTGAGTTACAAAGAGAGAGAGAGTGATAGTTTTATCTTAGTTCATTTATGCTGCTATAAAAAATACCTGATTCTAGGCCGGGTAATGGCTCAGTGGAATAAGCGCTTCCCTGGCAAGCGCAAGGGCCTGAGTTCAATCCCCGGTTCCGCAAAAAAAAAAAAAAAAAAAAAACCAACAAAAAAAACAAAACCTGATTCTAACCCTAACCCCTTAATTAGCTGTCTTTTTGTACTTCCTGTTAAGTGAGTCAGGGTCTCACTGTGCAGTTCAGGCTGGCCTTGAACTTGGGGCAATCCTTGTACCTCAGCACTGCTGAAGGAGGATCACAAATTTGAGCCCAGCCAGGACAACTTAGGGACTTGGTGAGACTCTGTCTCAAACTTAAAAATAGGCTGTGGATGTAGCTCAGTGTGAAGGCCTGAACTCAATCCCCAGCACCATGTGTGTGTACACAAAAGGTGTATGTGGTGGGTGATGGAGACTGGCCACGGCACAGCACAGCTGTTACTCCGGCTTCTTGTCATCTAGGAGAAGCTGAGGTAGGAGAGGATGCATTCAGACCATTGTATCTCAAGGTGTTCCCAAACTCAGAAATAATATTTTGGTTTTTGCTGTGTTTTTTTTCTCTTGTAAGCAGCCTGCTATTTTCAGGGCTCAGAACTGGCCAGTGAGCCAGACTGATTTGCTGCCCTCTTCAGAGTTTGAATAAAAACTGAATTAGTTGCTATCACTTAAATATTGGAAGAATCACCATAAATTTATATTTCGAGCTTCTTTTGAAGTATTAAATTTGGTAACTTGCCTGAATTTTTACATGACAGTCCAGTTGCTTCTCTTAAATGAGATTGAACTGTTGTTTCTAAAACCTTTTCCATTTGGTTATGATAGAGATAACTTTAAAATGGTCATTTACTGCCTCTTTCTTTTGTAACTCCCCTAGCCTTACTTCTTTTTAAAATTTTTTAAAAAATTTTATTTATTTATTTATTTTGGTGGAACTGGGGATTGAACTCAGGCCCTTGCGCTTGCCAGGGAAGCGCTCATTTTACTGAGCCATCTCCCTTGGCCCCTTAAATTTTTAATTTTTTTGTTCCTTAAAAGGGGGGGGGGAGACTATTCCTTGTCTTTTTTTTTTTTTTTTTAGTGATTCTGTTTTGGCATGCTTTCATTAGAAATCCTGAACACTTACTTCTTTTGGCCAGTTACTTCTTCAAGGGGAAGATGAGGAATGGTTTATTCCAGAGGCTTGGGAAGGGAGACCAGGTTGAGTTGTGAATCTAACACAGCTGTTGGCAGGCCTTTGGACAGTGTGAACTAACCGCAGCTCAGTAAGGACTCCTCATTTATCCGCCATGGTTAGGGACCTCTTTTCTGCCCTAATTTCCTCTCCTTGTTTCCGTCCCAGGCCAGCAGCTAAGAGTTGAGCAGTGTCTGAGGGTAACTGCAGGCTTCAGTGCTCTGCTGCACAGAGTTGGCCACCACTCACGCTGGGCGGTGACTGAGTGGGGTTTGATCACACTAAGTCAGAAGCCTCTGCTGCGCTTTCTGCCTGGGCTCTAGGCCTGCGCTTCTACCTGTCTGCGAGATTTCTCTTGAGAGCAGGTTCGTCTGATAATGTTGACATTATGTGGAAATTTCAGTGGGTTCGTTGGTTGATCTCACTCTTTGCGTTTCCGTTTGCCCGCCACTCCATCTGCTGTCTGCTATCCCTGCGCTGCTTGTATTTGTGATTATAGATCCGCCATTGAACTCTTTGAGCATTACAGCATGGCAGCAATGACATTCAATCCTCCTGTGGAATTTTCAGACTCCAAAAGGAAGGTATGTGGTATTTTTCAGTTTTTTTTAAAGAAAAAATAGAACTAAATCATGTATTGTTAACTCTAATACTAGCTTGCCTGTTTTATTGATAGCTTTTTTCCCCCCTCATGTTTAAGAGTTGATAGCTAGGACAGATGTTTGGGGCTGGAATCCAGGAGTTTAGTTATACTGATTCAGTATCTAAGACCCGACCAGGCATTTCAGTGTGGAGAGTCACTTGCGGTGTTAGCTGCTGCTCTCTCAGCTCTGCTCTTAGCTTGACTTGTACTTAGGGTACAAGCAACTTTGAACTCAGTGTTTTTAAATCTTTTTCCAGGATAAAGTTCTACAAGGGGAGTCATTTCTAAATGAAGATTTAAATCAATTAATCCAAAAACACTGCACTGAAGTTGCTCATCAGTCATCCTTGGATTTCACCAAATACTTAAGAACGTCACTAAAATAGTGCAAAAATGAAGAACAGTGGACTTTTTCTTGTATATTTGTGTTTATGTGCAGGTGCATATAAAGACAGGGTAGGTTAGGAGTTTTTTCTTTTTTGTCTTTTTGAAACAGAGTCTCCTGTGCAGTTTGGGCTGGCCTTGAGCTCACTTTGTAGCCCAGGCTGGTCTTGAATTTGCAGCAGTCCTCCTGCTTTAGCCTCCCTGAGTGCTGGGATTACAGCTGTGCACCATTACGCTCAGCTAGTGTAGGACTTTTTATACAAGGAGAATATCCTAAGAACAGTTTGAAAGAGGAACAGTTACAGTTTGTGCGGCATGGACCTCTACCCAGTTTTGAAAGTGTCGTTTCTATAAGAAAGGAGCATTGAAAACCTTTTTTCTTTCTAATATTTTGAAAGTTTCCTTCTTAACGTACTAGTAAGCTATAGTTTTTGTTGTTGTTGTTTTCTTTTGGCGGTATTGGAGCTTGAACTCAGGACATTGCACCTGCCAGGCAGGTGCTTATGCCGCTGCGTTATCTCCCTGGCCCCTTACAGTTTTTCTATTTTGCAGTATAGAGATTGAACCTAAGAAATGCCAAGCTACATCTCCAGTTGAGTTAATTTTATAATGTTGAGACAGAGCCTAAGTTGTCCAGACTGGCCTCGAACTTGAAATCTTCTTGCCACACAACTTTTTGTAACTGTGATTACACGCATACACTACCATGCTCGATTGCCAGGAATGTGGCCAAGACTCCCAGCTGTGTGAGGGTAAGGTGAAGGATAAAATAAAAAACCCACAGTATCAGGAATGTATGAAAGGCGCTGGGAGGTCAGTGCCTGAGGATAGGCAAAGACAAAGGGGGAGGGGGAGTATTCTTTCCTGGAACAGTGATGAATAGGATGAGGAACAATTTTATGCATCTTTTTTTTTTTTTCATTTTATTTGGTACAGGGTCTCACTACGCAGCTCAGACATGTGGTGATTCTCCTGTTTTTAGCCTCCCCAGTGCTGGGATTACAGGTGTGTGCCACCATGCTTGGACTCAGTCACCCTCAGGGATCAAACACTGGTCCCTACTTGCCAAAGTAGGTGCTTAGTCTCCACTGAGCTACCTCGAAGGCAGGGAACAATTTTAACATCACAAAAGAAAAGTTAAGATCTTGCCTCTACGTGGGTACTTCCTGCCTTTGACCTCATTCTGTGCTGTGAGTCAGTCTGGCCCACCAGGATGAGTGTGGCCTCAGGCGGACCCGAGCCTCTTTATAATTTGTGGTCCCCAACACTGGTTAAGTCATAATTTTAAAAGTCATTTTGGACTTTTGTGCGGGACTTTGGACTTTTCCTGTCTATGCTTCAGTCATAGAAAGCCGCTGTGTGGCTGAGCACAGGCAGCAGGTCCAGAAGGGCAAGGAGCATAGAAAAACCTAGAACAAGAACACCTTTTGCATTTAGTCACACCTGTAACTAACTATTCTTTAACGTTTTTATTGCACTACCATAGATGGAAATGAGAAACATTCTCAATTTGAGTGAATTTAAACTTTACAAGTTTTATGAAGATTTTGGAGAAAAAAGTGGTTTGAAACTAGACAGGTGAGCCAGGTGTGGGGGTACGCACCTGTAACCTTACTAGCACTTGGGAGGCGGAGGGAAGGCCGACCTGGACTGTGTAGGGAGGCCATGTCTTAAAGAAAAAAAAAAAAAGAACAATACACCTAATTTGATCTTTTTTTTTTTTTTTTTTTTTTTTTGGGGGAACCGGGGTTTTGAACTCAGGCCCTTGTGCTTGCCAGGCAAGCGCTTATTCTACTGAGCCATTTCCCTGGCCCCTGGTCATTTTTTAAAATGGATATTTGCTCTGGCTTACTGGTGTGGCCTGTGTCTGAATACCCCCCACCCCCAGGCTCATGGGATCATAGGCGGGGTTTTCAGAGGTGGCTGAATCGAGACTGTGTGATGCTAGGATTAAGGGTGGTGAGTTGTCAGCCCACCGTCTGGTCTGGCACTGCTGTAGGCCCTGGACCTCGGTGCAGCCTATGGGACAGAAGGAGCTTGGCTTCCGCTCCGGGCTTCTGCTGCCTTCTGGGCGCCACCAGCTGTTCTCCATGCCACCGCTGCTGTGCATCACTCTTCCTTGGAGCCGCCAGCTGATGCCTCTACAAGCTGTGAGCTAACGAAGCCTTTCCCCCTTTAACTTTGGATCTTATCTCAGCATTGAGAAAAATACCTGAGAGAGCTATTTTCAGACAAAAATTTGATATGAATTCACTGAAATTGAATGCATATGGTGACATGCCCTGTGATGGGGGAAGAATTGTTTGTGGAAGCAAAAACCAAGTGAGGGACTACCGTTCTGTTTTAACAATAAAGAGTGAGCAGAGGACTTTTTTTTCCACTTAATAAAGGCAGAATGTATATTCATATGAATATAATTACAAAGCGGTATTTTACATAATAGCTATGGCCGTATTCTTGGGCTGGTTGTGAAATATGTATATAAAGGTGTTTTTAATTAATAGCACAATAAAATGGCTTTCTTTCCTACTGTTGAGTTTTGTTTTGTTTTGTTTTTTTTTTTAAATACAGTAGTCCAACTAAATAGATCTCTTACTGCTTCAGTCATAGAAATCCACTTACATTTTTCTGGAGCTTTGCACTCTTTCTCGTGGGATAAAGTGACATAGAAGATTCCTTTTCTATCGCAGCACGTAGGAGGCAGAGAAAAGCCAGCCCACGTGCGGTCGGTCCGCATACACTTGTGTGTGATTTAAAAAGCATTTCTGAGGTCACATCTTTAGGGTTTGATTATTTAATGGTGAGAAAGAAGTGTGTCTGTATATTTGTAAACTATTTACATATAAAAGAATATTAAGTATTTGTGTGCATAATCAAAGGGTCTGTTGTCATCAGAGCAGAAAATACCAATGCATGTCAGAAATCATTTATTTCCAAATACATAAATGTATCACTTTGGCAGCAAAAATTGTAATTCAGGTGAAAAGCAGTTTTAAGACATTCATCAGCTGTTTTACGCTTGTATTATGCTTGTAATTCTTGTTTTATATGTAGTTGTACTGGAACCATAAAAGCATACAGGTAATATTTGAATATCCTGTGTGAATTTGAGGGTGAAATACATTTGCTTGTATAGCCTATTACTTTGATTTTTGGAGTTAAATGCCTTAAGCATTAGTAGCTAGGGCGCACCCTGAGGCTGTTCTCATCTACAGCCTCCCATTATCAGCTAGACAAATACAGATGACTTACTGTGTGCTTAGCACTAGGCGTTTAAAAGTAAGGTGGAATAATGGTGTCAGCGTAAATCTTCCGTAATCTGCTGCTGAGTCAGATCATGTGTTCACTAAGAAATGTCTTAGCTAGTCGGGTGTCAGAGTGAGCTGCATCACCTGAGCTAAGTATCCACCCAGAGCTGTTGACTGCAGGCTTGAACATCCGCACATTTCAGAATAGCAGTAATAGTGTGATTCAGGTATTTCTGGGTCACAGTCCTCAGCTGCCAGCCCAGGACTGCTTTTGAAAAGTTGATGCCTAGAGATAACAGAAAACATTCTTATCGATCATGGGAATGTCCAACAAGTAGCTTTTGGGGGTCCATGTGCTCCCCTTTTGTGGCCTCAGTGCTGATGTAAGACAAGGGTAGCAACTGCCCTGTTGCCACGAGCTTCCCTGTGACCTTCCCCTCACTCTGCCACATGTAAGGTCGGACACGGCTGGGAAAGCCCCAGGGCGCACCCTGAGGCTGTTCTCATCTCTTCATTGGTGTAGGAGCATAATGGTGGTGGTGCTCTGTAGCACCCCTTCACTTTTACTGCGAACCCTGGTTGCTTTTCGTAAGGCCTTGAATGTCTGCACAGGAGAGGTCTACAGAGATATTAGAGGAGGACAGGAAAAGGGAAGATATGGTTAAGAATTAGTGTTCAGCGTGCAGGGTCCACTTTCATTCCTTCACAGCCTCAGAGCCACGGAGGGGGGCGTTGGTGTTTTGTGACTCCTCTTTATTCAGCCACAGCTGGAGAATTTGTGAATTTACACTTGTTAGGATGGCATGCGAAGACGCTTTACTCAAAATGTTGCCGACAATCTGGTCCGTCATCCGGCTGTCCCCAGCCCTGTGCTGCCCTCTCGTGTCTTACGGAGCAGTGACCATCGCAGCGAGGTGGCTGTGAGGAAGCTCACCTCTGCTCTCATGTAGCACTTCATACCGAGCCTTATTCTCACCTTTTATTGCCAGATACACTTTAAAAACAAACACCCTGTAACAGGGTGTTAAAATTCATGTTCATTTCTTTTCACTTTTTGTGAGGCTTCTTGAAATACTGTTATAAACCCAACTTGAACATTTAGGTTTTTTTTCTGTGTCAACTCTACTGAAAAGAATTTGCTATCCAGATTTCTTATGGCCTAGAAAGCATAAAATGGTAGCAGGTATAGTCCTAGTGGTTATTTTAGATATATTCTAAAAGAATACTGAATTTCATTTAATATTATAATTCAGATGCGTTAACCTTTAACAAAAATTTCATATTTCTGGCAAACACCAAGTTGTGCTGGTCAGTTACCAGACACATGCATGACACGTTCAGTGACAGACGGACAGACTGCTTTGTGGGCGTGTCATGGGACATGACAGTGGTCCGAGAATGTTACAGCAGTACTGAGAATTCCTGTTTCCCAGTGGTGTCGTGTAAATTCACTCTGCTGTTCTCAGGCGTTTTCCCCGCATCCCCATCATTAAAGTGACACATGATAGTACAGATTGTGATTGCTTTACTGTTTGAGCAGTGTGTCCTTCCTAAAATCCCAGTCGGTTACAATACAGTATGTACGTAATCCTCAAAATGTTGGGGTGCAGCATAGGCAGTAAACTGGGTTCATTCATTTGCTAAACCCCAAATCTCACATTCACTCAGGGTGAGTCCCAGATTTGGTGCTCTAACGAAGTCCACAAGTATGCTGAGGCCGCAGGGGAAGGGCAGGAGCGAGAGTCAGCTGTGTGATAAGCTGGGGGAGTCTGGCCTTGCATTTTACCACCCTGCATAATTTGGCTTTAGCCGGTCTGGTCGGTGACTCAAATTTCAACCTGTAATTACCCAGGCCAAACCATTTGGCCTGTTAGTTTATAGAGGCCTCATTGGCTAGTGCTAGGATATTTAAAAAATGGGATTGAACTGTGCATATATTACAGATTTTTTTTGATATAAGGAAACTTGCAGTGTTGCGTGAACTATTAAGCGGGGACAGCCTGTATTCAGCTGGCAAGAAAATGGTAGTTAACTATGACAGCTTTGTTGTATATGTTCAGCAATTTTGTTTTTAGAATAAACCAAACAATAGGTATTTCATTTTTATATTTGGTAAAACATCTCAAAGCAAAGGATTTTTAAAATGTGTTTTATAATTTTAAGAAAAATGTTTAAAATTTAATACCAATGGAAAGATAGAGTTTGAGTTTTACTGCAGAGGAAAACGTCATCATTTGCTTCATACCGAGATTAAGAATCTATTACACTTAGCTAGGTTTTGTACAGCAAGGTATTTAAAAAATAATTTACATCAAATTGCAAATATAACTTGGGCCCATAGCTCTTCAGTTAATAGGAAACGAAGCTATTTTACGTGGAAATCTAGCTCATTGTAGATGTTCAGGTGTACATTTTAAGTTTATTTTCAAATGGTGAGATAGAATCACTAATGCTCCTAATCCACAGAAAAAAGGCATGGCTAATAAATACACAAATACAGTGTCAGTACAAACCTTGCACAATAAATAAATCTACTTTAAACACAAAACTTTTTTCCACAAAACTACTTTTGATTTAAAAAAATTACGTTTTTTGTCACATCACAAGTCATCATTCTAGATTAAATTGTGGAAACTAAAAATGGAATAATCTGTGAATATATGAGCGATGACCTTCCCGCATGAACCCCAGTAACTTCTTCATATGTAAAAAGAATCGTAGAGTGCACCATGGTACACAGTATAGGGACTACGTTGAGTCACTTTCAGTGAATCTTACAGAATTCATTTACATTTGCAATGCCCGAAGCTTTTGCTTTTCAGCCATAAACTCTATGGCTAACCTGTGTAGTTTGCTAGTTTTCAGATCTGTCTCCGGTTCCCAGTTCTCCAGGTTGGGTCACCGGTCTCTGGCCCTTGGGCCAAATCCAGAGTACCGCCTGTTCTTAGAGAGCCCTTGAACTAAGAATAGTCTTTACATTTTTTAATGGTTGAAAAAAAATCAAGAGGATGTTTGTGATCTGTGAAAATTACACAAAATTCTGAAGTCAGTGTCCATAAAGTTGCCCCAGAATACAGCTGTGTTGGTTCCTGTGTCTGTCGGCTGTGCGGGCCTTTGGCAGGGCACGCAGCTTACACACGTTGGCCACAGACCGCGTGGTTGCCACCCTAAAATACCGGTTGGCTTCTGCAGACAAAGCTTGCTGACCTTAAAAGAATTAAGCAAGCTCAGGGATGTGTCTCCAGCTGCTGGCATTTGCAGACCGGCAGTCCTGGCGCGCTGTGCGTCGCCCGCGGAGCCCACTGGGGCGCTGCTACCCTGCGCTCGTCACTCGGCCTCAGCATGCGCGTCACGGCGTGTGTGAAGAGCGTTGCCGTTCCCAAGCCGTCCGTTTCCAGTTTAAGTCGAAGGAAAATAAATTCTCTCTCCACCATGTCCACTGTTGTCTTTAACTTCTTGCCAGAAGATCTTCACCTGTAACATTGTACACATAGGCGGTCAGTGCACCGAACATGAAGAAGTATTTACAGCCCAGGAAAGGTTCGGCGTGGTTCAGCCAACAGAAGCCCACGGCTCGGCCTGCCATGGAGGGAATCCTCCCTCCGGAGCCAGTGCTAGAACGTGGTGCTTCTAGAATAGAACATTAGAAAGAAGCATGCTAAGAAAGTCACATTCAAATAAGTTGTTTAACTTATTATTTTTGAAACTTTAGATATGATCATTTTAGAACAAATAACATGAAATATGGTATCTGAAGCAAAAACACTGAGCTAGTGATGACCACATACACTTAAGTGCTCTTTCTTGGAAATGCCAGCTTAAAAGGAGGTCAGAACACGGAATGTGAAGAGCCCTAGTTTTGCCAACAACTATTTTAAAGAAAAGCTTCCCAGCTTTAAGTGAAGCTGTGAAGTTAACTAAGTGATTGTAAATGTCTGTTTGCTTCAGGCAGGCTGACCCCGAAGGCCATCATCTAGATCGCTGCTGATCTGCTCTCCTAAAATACAATTAGTAATGTCCTTGTGCCTGCATATAATCTTAAATCGCATTTCCGATAGAATTGTATTCCTCTGTACTCAGTGAAGTCTTGGAGTACACAAAGGGCTGCTTCAATGTAAAATGTATTTCTGACAAATGTACTAGCTGTAGTGTAATTGACTAAAACAGTGTAGACATTATATGGTGTTAGAACAACTGTAATAAAGTGTGTTATTTTTAAATAAGAAAAAGTCTTTCCCCAGCCAGCCGTGCCAGCCCTGCCCCTGGGGCATGCTGAGATGGAGATTAAGACTGGGTTTGGTAGCACAGGTTTGTAATCCCAGCGCTTGGGAGGCTGAAAACAGGAGGATCAGTATGAGTCTGATCTGTGTAGTGAGACCCTGTAGACCTTGTACTAAATTAAAAAAACTTCAAAGAAGAAAAAAAAAATAAAATGAAATTTACTCTGGATGTGAATCTGAAGTGGTCTGGCAACCACCGTGCACTGACAAGGTGGAGGTGGTTAGGTGATTTTACTGTCTTTTTAACCACCACATGCAGTTGCCATGTGTTTATATATTCAGCTGAGGCAGGAGATGAGGTTGTTAGGCTAAGTCAAACCTAAATTAGATAATATAAAACCAGGAATCAAAGTGTAAAAGCTGAATGACTTGGAGATCCTTTGAAAAATGTTCATGCGAGTTTTTAATAAGACAGTCCAATGTTGGATGAAATAAGGCTGTGTGGCACTTTAGTCAAGTTGGTTGCCCTCTGGGGGCCTTTGCTTAGTAATCGACAGCAATGTCTAAATGGCAAAAGCTCCTGTTCCTAAGGGCTTCAGCACCTTGTCCCTTTTCAAGGCATGGTGCCCAGCTGCCTTCAGGGACAACCTCGCAAAGAGGACATGAGACACTGTACTGACAGTGCTTAAGGAAGTGACTTCAGTGGAGTGTGCAGGCTGCAGTGACTGCATACCTGGGGAACTCACTGTCCTCGGTCACTGTGGATAATCAGCTGTGTCACTGGAGGTCAGGCCACCCACAGCTTTTTCCTCCTTGTTTTGGACACTTTCCGAGGCCAAGAGCTGAGGTGCTGAGGTGATGCCCCGGGGCTGCTTGGTTGACTTGGTGAGCTTCTTCAGTTCACTTGCAAAAGAGATGCCCTTTCTTTTGTCCTCTCGAGAAGCCTGCAGGGAAAAAGAATCTTTCCTTGGCTGAGGTTCCTCAGTCACAAAGCACTAGGTCACAAAGAGCCCTTTCCACTTTTCGCTTCCGTAAGTAGAACTTTGGGACAGCCCAAGGGACTCCTCTCAGGGCTCCTTAGCCACAAAGTGGAACACATTTTTCCCCCATACAGTGAAAACCAAGCCCAACAATTTTCTCCCAATTCAGTTTCACTCAGGAACTTCCTTCTAGATTTCACTAGCTCTCAGATCTGATCTTGATGTGGTTATAAATGATGTGTTTTATGAAGCGGGCCAAGTAACTAAACTTTACCTGCACCTGCTCCTTTAGCTTAAGGATGAATTTCCCTGCGCCCTTCCACTTGCTTTGGGCTTGAAACACACACTCCTGGTCCAGAAGGACTCGCTGAGAAGACTTTGGAGCAGAAGACTTCTTGTTGGGTGTGTCTCTCACTACTTCTTCCAAAAGCACGTAGTCACCCGGATTGGGGTTGCTCAAGAAGCTATAGGAATACTTGGCTTTGCATAATGTCTGAAAAAGAAATTATGATTAACCAAATAGCACATCTTCAACATGTGCAATCAGGTTAAACTTTCAGGTGGAAAAGTGACACATATTTTTAGAGATGGAAGGGACCTGCCAGATGTCATCTAATTCCTCCTTTTATATTTCTGTGGTTGTAGCTTATAATACACACTTTCTTAGATTAGTCATGTCCCCAACAACCTCTGACTCAGATGAGGAAGCATACACTTACAAAAGCTAAATAGATCGTAGACAAGGAAGCTTAAACTTATAAAGGTTAAGCCGATTCCAGATCATGCACAGTTCATAAGTAATAATAGAGACCTGAACTGGATTTTTGGCACATGTCAAAGCACGTGGACATGAAGGCCACGCAGCCGTGAGGGACAGGATCCTGCCCCTCGGAGCCTCCCTGCCCCCTGAGGCTGCCTTGCATTCACGGTCTTTGATGTTGAAGGGATTTCAGTCCGTAGCCTCCCTTTTCATTGAGCATAAAAACATCTTTCATTTACTCATTCATTCACTCAGATATTTGCTGGGGACCTACCATGTCCCAGATACTGTGCTGTGCTTTGGAAAGGTAGAGATGAGCAAAAGAAATGAAAATCTTCGAAGTCAGTTAAGGTGGCTAATTAACCAAATCACACATTAGAAACGGTAAGCAGCGCTTAGGTTGAGTGCACCACGCGGTAGGCATGGGACCAAATGCTTTACATTGATGCAATCTTCACGACTTATCCCAGCTTTTACCTCTTTGGTGACTTGCCACTTAGGTGTGCAGGAGTCAGTTTGCTCTAGTGAGTCAAGCACAATAGCAGTACTTAACGCTATAGGCATAACTCAGATTCCCCTCCCCAGCTAGTTCACCAGCACCCAGTAGAGTGAAGGCACAGACTCAAGTCCTCATAGTGGAAAGCAGAGCTGGGTTTGAACCTGAAATGGTGGCGGCGAACCTTTTAGAGACCAGATGCTCAACCCACAAACCCAAACCCACTCACTTATTTCAAAGTGCTGACACTGCTGCTAAATCTGAATACAGCGGTACCTCGGTTTACAAACTGAATTTGTAGTTATGATTTAGGGGAAGATCACTGCTGTTGTGTTTGTTGAGGAAGGGGGCTATGGTTGTATTTGTCATCTGGTGTGTCCTTTGGGAATGGAAGCAAAATTTTGCTGAAAGCTTTTATTTGCAAACAGAAGCATTTGTGAACTAAGGTGTTACTGTAATGAGGTTTTAGTTTAGAAAATAGAGCTTAACTGATGCTTGGCTGGGCTGGGGAGATAGCTTAGTGGAATAAGCACTTGCCTGGCAAGCATAGGTCCTGAGTTCAATACCCAGTACTGCAAAGACAAACGAACCAAACCCGATGTGTGCCTGCTGTGGCGTGAGTGCCCTGGGCTCGCCACCAGTGCCCCAGAGCAGCCCGATCGAGGGTCTGTGTGCTTAGCCATCAGGGTGTCAGCTCGACATGGAATCTGTGTTTGATGAATGCAAACCCTGAGCCAGCTTTGGAGAGAGCAAAGAGTCCTTTGAAACAGTTCCTTGACACCAGCATGGCCAGTAGAGGAGAGAGGGCTCAGGTAGCTCTCGGCTTGTCTTCTGAAAGACCCTGGAGAAGTGGGAGTTGGTGCTGGGCCACGCGTTTCTGAGAAAGTGAAATCCGCACTCTGCAGAATCACTTCCTAAATCCATTATCCCTGGTGCTTTCTGTAGAGCCAGAGTCATGGGGATTGAACTGCGGTCCCTGCGTGCTTGCCTAAGCTTGCCTAAGCAGCAGGCACTTTAGACCGCTGAGCTATCTCACCGGCTCAGAAAACAAAAATAACCTCCATTTGATTGTGATAAAGGCTATACAGTGTTGTCAATACGCCACAATCTACTAAATCATAAACTAAGTTTATAAATTGTATCGTATACATATTTTAGTTTAATAAAACCATTATTTTAAAGAAAAAAAGGTTTTTAAAGACATCCTCCTTTTTGGTCCCCCTTGTTCTAGAATGTTGTAAAATGAGCTCTCAATGTACAGCCATCTGCTTTGTCCCGGTAACAAAAGGACGGAGGTGAAGAAAGCTTTCCTGTTTTTTCTTTTCTTTCTTTGCTTTTCTTACTTTTTCCTTTTTTCCCTTCCTTCTTCCCCTGCCCCCTCGCCGTGCCTTCCCTTGCCTTCCGTTGAACCCAGGGCCTTGTGCCTGCTACCAAGCAACCCAGCCCAGCTCTGCATCTTTCCCCCAGGCAGAGGCCTTTACCTGCTGAATGACATCCTGGGCAGTGCTGACGCGAGGTGCTTTGATGACGGTTTTAGGTTGCTCTGGAGAAACGTCATGCACTTGGACAAAGAAGCTCTCCTCCTCTGTGGTCAAGATCACCTCTTTGTCATCTTGAACAACGCTCTTCTCTTTTAGAGTCTAGGTACAAAAGGAGAAATATAGAGCAATTGCAAGGTGATACAGAATGAAGAAAAATAAAGCAGGATATTGAGCTGTATCTTAATGTGGAAGCAAATGTCTAGGTATATACTTCATACATTTGTTAATATTTTATAAGCTGCTCTAAAAGGATGTACCTGTCTTCTGATAAGAAAGCCGCTGCTGGGCTGGTGAGATGGCTCAGTGGTCTAAAGCACCTACTTAGAACAAGCTTAGCAAAGCACAGGGACCGCGGTTCAATCCCCCAGCACCACATGCCAGCCAGCCCCGCCCCTGGTGGGCTGAGCTGGCTACACACACACACACACACACACACACACACACACACACACACACAAAAAAAAAAAAAAATTAAAAAAAAAAAGAAAGCCGCTGCTGACACACCTGCTACACAAACAACCTACCCCGAGCTACACACGGTAGCAAGGCGCACAGTAAGCCCGGCGTCTTCTGCTACCTGTGCCCTTTGAAAGTCCGCATCAGCTGAACAGATTTACAGGAAAGGAACAGCATAGCCTTTTGCCAACTACCAGAAGGCAAATAAGACCCAGAAAATTGAACTGAAGAGAAATTTCACTCGTTCCCACATAGCTCTTGAGCATGGAGAAACGCCAGGCATCTGAATGTGAAACCTGCGACACGGACTGTAAGCCCGACTGGAAAGCAAACCCCACAGCGGAAGGGCTGCGACGGCTGGCGGCAGCCGCACTGAACCGTGCTTTGACAGACTGTCCGTAATGACGAGGCCTGGAGGTCAAGTTGATCAGCTTGCCTTGGGTGGCATCCACGGAGCTCTGCGGACACACGCGCATTGTGCACAGTTACCTGTATCTTATGAAACTTTTTCAAACAGTGTAGGAGTAAATCAGTAACCAAGCAAACAGCCTATTTTCATCTTTTTCCTATCATTTTACACCCCCTCACCCTCAAAAAAACCCTACTGTTGTTGGGTTGTCTTTCTAAACATTTGCTGCTGTGGGTCACAAATGATCATGGTTTTTATGAATACACACCCCCTGGAATTCTGAGAGCTTAGGTCTCCTGTGCTGTCAACCCGGCCCTGTCCTTTGGCAGCCTCCATTCTCAAAGCGGAGTGGCTGGAAGTGATCTTGTGTAAACAGGGAGAGGCGAGGCCACCAGAGAGCAGGCCCCTCGCCTGAGGCGTGAGGCTCAGCCCCAGGTCCCACTGGCGGCCTTCTCCTAGCACAAGCTCCCCAGACAAGGCGCTTATAGAATTACTGGCCTGTCACTTCAGAAGTTCTAGCCAGTCATGGCATCCACAACTGCCCCAGATCTTAAAATCAGGATGGAAAACTGCCACCAGGTGGAGCCCTGCTGTCACCAAGACCGGAAAGCCGGCTCCTGGCCCTGGCCCTGGCCCTTGGAAGCGTGCAGGCCTCGCCCTGTGCTGTGCTCGAATTGTATGGAGCTTGTTCATTAGATAACGGCGGGGGACGGGCGGGGAGTTAGCTGCTTTTAATGTATGAAACTGTACCCTTGTAATGCGCCAGCCTGCAACTTTTCTGCCAGCCTGAAGCTTGCGCCTCATTCCGCGTCCGCTCGCGGCCGCCCAGGACGTCACCGCGTTCGTTGCTCGCGGTGCAGTTCACTAGGCAGGGAGAAGTCTGCAGGAATTCACAGTTATAACTTCAACGTCTCCCGAAACGGAAAGCAAGAAACAAAAACGCACAATAAAGTTCTAAGCTGCCACAGCTCCCAGCAGCAACGCAGCCCTCTGGGGACAGCTCCGCAGAGTGTCCCCAGAGCTCACTGCCCGGGCGTTTCCCGCCGCGGGGGCTGCGGGGACAGCAGGAGCAGCTCCTCCTTTCTACTTAGCGCCTTAGGGTGTTGTCTACCTGTTGGACACAAGTCAGAAAGGGTAGTTTCCCTCACAGATTTTACAGAGTAGGGCAGTGAGGTTCACACGCTAGGTGGTCTGTTCAGGACTAATTCGTGTAGAATCCAGACCTATCCGGAGGGTTAAACACGTCTTAAAAAAAAAAAAATCTGGAATTTTTTCAGTGTAGACAGTGTGCCTGGACTTAGTACAATCGTCTTACATGTTTTATATGTTCTTTGACTCATTGGTTTTCAATCTGTATACACAATAATTAACTTCGTAGGTTCTTACAAATAAATGAAGTTGATGCTAGAAAAATAAGAGTGTGCAGAGAGGAGGGAACAGAAGGGAATTCGATGTGTTGTATATGCGCACCAGTGCAGCGAACCCACAGCAAACATGTACTAATAAAAGTAGAGCACAATTAGGATTTCTGTTTCTTTTCCACCTTCCTCGTGCCGAGAGCATAAGCTGTTCCCCTTCCTCTTTCAAATCAGGTAACTGAAGGAAAGCAAGCCCTCGGTCAGAGAAATTACCTCCACACTGTCTGGAAGGACCACGCAGATGCTGGCCCTGGAGGTCAGTGTCAGTTTGCATTTTCACAAGGGGGCAGGAGCCCCAAGAACGGCCTGGAGCCAGATGAAGGAGTTGGGGGCAGTGTGAGAGCCTCCTGCCTCATGGCTCGTTCTCGCGGTGAAGTTCCTTGCCCCCTGACCGAGGTGAGATGGAGACTGGGGCAGGAAGAGACCCCTCCATGTGCCCTGGAGCTGGCTGTGAACACACCCTTTCCTTTCCCACGGAAGATTGTCTCCATGGTCTCGGGGAGCAGCAGGTAGCACACAGTGACCGGCCATCGTGTGGCTTCAAACGGGAACACACTAGCCACAGGAAGACATACCTGAGAGCCCAGGAGACAACAAAGCTCTAAAGAGCAGGCCAGAGAGACCTGAGTCACAGAGGGTGAGCTGAGGAACTTTGGAGATTGAACCCAAGACCACAAGCATCACGAGGCAAGTGGCTTGCTGCCGAGTTGCGTCCCCAACCCGGGGAGCTTTAAATAGACTCTGTGGTCAGACTATTTACAATAGCTCACTAGATCGGGAGGATAAACAGATGGAAGTACTTACAACCCAGATAATCAGCATGACAGCGCCATCTAACATTTAATAATTGCTTGTGTCACTTATTCAATCAGCAGATATTTTTTCTTTTCTTTTTGTTTTTGTTTTTGTGCTGGAGATTGAACTTCTGCGTGCTAAGCCTGTACTCAACCAGGAGCTACACACCCCACCTTAGTCAAGAGCTATTAGAAGTCACTATGAACTAGGTAAACTTAAATACACTCACTGTGATTTTTTACCTTTTGAGGTATATTTCAGTCGTTTCAAATATGTTGTCTTCATAAAGGTGTTAGCAAGGACAAGTTGATACATTCTAATCATTAGAAAAAGCTGAGTAGGCTTTCCATCCCATTGATCCTTTTCTTTGAAGCATTCATTTTGCCTGTTTCATGCATGTTTCCAGTGTCTACAGCCCCCTTGAGCTTCCTGGTCTTTCTGGCACATGATGAACCTGCTGAGACCCTCTGTAGGATCCTCCTGCTCACTGCCTCCAGGGCTGAAGGGGTCATCCACAAGGACTGACCAATTCCAGCCCGGGAAGCACAAGATTGTAGACAGAACACTGTTGGTGGCCAGAAGACTCCAGTTCTTTCTTCTTCTGACCCTGACATAATTGTAACCACCCACCCCTTTTTTTCTCAGTCCCGGGAAACAAACCCAGGGGGTTCTCTACTGCTCAGCTACATCCCCATCCCTTTTTATTTTGAGACAGGGACTTGCTAAATTGCCTGGGTGGGCAGGACTTGCCATCCTTCTGCCTCAGCCGTGAAGAGCTGGGATTGCAGGCACATCTGGCTTCGGATTTTTAACCTGAGTCTGTTTTGTCATATGTCAAATGGTTTTCACTGCATCATGAAATCATTCCAAATAGTGGGTGTTTGGGGCTTATCAATTCTGTAGTCATGCAATGTACAGTTTGAAAAATTTACAATGTTCACTGATGCTGTCATTTAGAAGATAGTGTTTTACAAAAAATAAGAGAGGAATTAAAGATGGCTTCAAAAGTCCAGCTGAGGGCGAGGGAGATAGCTCAGTAGAATAAATGCTTGCCTGGCATGCGCAGGGTTCTGAGTTCAATCCCCAGTATCACAAAAAACAAACAAACAAATAATAAGAAAACAAAAGTCCAGCTAAGCCCTCTTATAATTTCTCATTTCTCATACAGTGATTACCATTAGAATGACTAGTTCTCTATCTTAGCAATTCACACATCTGACAGGGAGAAGAGTCTGGGAAACAATTACATTTCTTGGCTTGTATTAAGTATCCTTTTATGGTCTGAGGCAAGCAGAGAAGGAAGCCACATGGCTTCCCTATGTCCTAACTATGGCTTGCCTATATTGCTGTGGGTCCCAGCGGAGGGGCTGGAGCTCTGGCGAGGCTGCATGTGACCATCAGAGAGCCATGAAGACAGGCCGTCACCTGCTCTGCGCCCGGCAGGCGCGGGTGGCCCGGGCACGTCCTTGCAGGCAGGCGTGAGAGCATCCCGAGGCGCAGGCCAGCGCTCAGAGCAGGGCCTGGCGCACGCAGGCGCTGACTGCCTCGCTGCCGCCGAGCTGTCCGACTGGCTCAGCGCTCACCAGCAGCGCAAGGCGAGGCCCAGTGTCCCGGCGGGCGGGCTGCTCTTGCAATGCCCCGGGAACTAGCTGCGGTCTTTCCAACATGATCAGCAGAGAAGGGGCGCCTTAGACAAAGCGGGGGAGGAGCCCGCTGCCTTGGACAGGACGGTTTTTGATTTTTTACTTTCCTGAGGATAATCATGGTAATATTAGCACACATAATATACATTTTTAGGGCTGGCAAGATAGCTCAGTGGACTAAGCGCCTGCTCAGGCAAGCGCAGGGACCAGGGCTCGATTCCAGGCCGTACACACTGTGCTGGCCTCAGTCCCCCCGTATGCTGAACTGGCCAACAAGACTGGGCGTGGTGGTGCATGCCTATAATCCCAGCACTGGGGAGGCTGAAAACTGGAGGCTCACCACGAGTCTGTACCAAATACATTTTTTTAAAAAAGCATTTTTATTAATTCTGACTAAGGCTGAGGATTATTCATCTTATGTGAAGTTATGGAATATTTTCAAAGAGATACTATTGTTTTACTTACAAGCCTTTGCTGACTTATCTTCTAAGTTTGGAACCTGATTTTTGTTTTTTGTTTCTTCAGGGCTCAAATTAAAGACCTTGCACTTGCTAGGCAGGCACTTACGCTGCTGAGCTGTCTTCCTGGCACAGGAACCTAATTTTTATTATTATTATTATTATTATTATTATTATGATTACATTTAGTACAGGGTCGACAGGGCTTCACTACACAGATCAGACTCGTACTGGTCCTCCTGTTTTCAGCCTCCCAAGTGCTGGGATTATAGGTGTGTGCCACCAAGCCCAGTCTCAGTCTGAGCCTCAGCTTGCCCCAGGTGGTGGGCCGGCATGGTATGTGGTATGCTGGGGATTGAACCCCAGTCCCTGCGCTTGCCTATGCAGGTGCTTTAGTCCCCTGAGCTATCTGGCTGGTCCTTGAATCTGATGTTTTTGACATGCTTAGAACCCAACATGTTTGTAATGTTTGGAACCTGATGACTTTCAGATTTTGGAGATTTTTGCATTTTGGAATATTTGTAGTGATTGTATAGGATGTGTGTACAGCGGTGTCTGTTATTGTGAAAACCTTCAAAATAGTGAGTGCTGTGCTGGGGAGATAGCTCGGGGCACAAGCACCTGCCTGCCAAGCTCAAGGACCCAACTTTGGTCCTCAGACCACATGCCGTGCTGTAATCCCAGCACTGGGGAGGCTGAGACAGGAGGATCACTGAGTCTGAACTGTGTAGCAAGACCCTGTATCAAATAAAAATAAAAAGAAACAGTGAGTATGTGAGACCTTTCAGTGCTGTAAATGGTTATGCAATATATGGTTTGAAATGTCAGCAGCGTTCAGTCTGCATTAGGTAAAATGTAACAGGCACTAACAGGAAGATAACCAAATTCAAAGTGCAGAATACCTACAGCACTATACTGCACAATAGTAATCCTTTTGCAGTTTTGCTTTCTGTAGCTGTAAAAACAATGGTCCAAAAGTATTGTGGAAAATTCCAGAAATAGACTATTCATAAGTTTTACTAATAATTCTGACTAGTGCGATAGAATCTGCTATCTGTCGTGCTCCGTCCTGTGCAAGCTGCGTGTCATCTCTTTGCTCAGTGTATCTATGAGGATTTCCCACTGGTAGCCACTTGGAAGCCACTGTGGTGATCCAATCGGTGCTTGCGCTTCTACAGCGTTCGGTTCTGTCCACGGCTCTGGGCGTGCATGAAGGGGCTGGACCCCATCTCTTATGGATAAGGGGATTCCACGGTACTGAGGCCTCATAGAAACGTACAAATACAGTACTGGACCCACAGCTGATGACAAGCAGAGGAATCCTCCAACCCCTTGTCCCCTTTGTTTCATAAAGAATGTTTTTCAAACCCAATTTCTGTAACTTAGAGATAACCTTTTAGATATGTACAGAAGAATACAATATTTTGCCCACACTCACTTAAGAATAATAAAATCAAGGTGTACTTAGGGAGGAGGGAGGCAGTCAGTGAGCGACGGTCGGCCTCAGACAGCGCAGGCCGCCGCCCGGACGCACTTACTTCCTGCTGGGCTTTCAAGACAATCCTGCCCACGTAGCCTTCTTCTGGAAACCAGCTGTTCAAAATCTGCATGATCTCTTCTTCTGGACCAATGACCCTCTGAAAGGGTTGCTTCCTGCATTCATTTTTTTCTTTTGATATAAAATACTTTTCTTCCATCAAAAAGTAGTCTGTGGAGAATAATTTGGTGTCTTGTTCAGTCATCAGAATCTAAAGAGAAGGCAAAGGCAAAATTAGGCATACTTGAGAAGGCGGCACAAAGTTAGAGCCAAAACACGCTTTCCTGGCCAGGTGTGGCGGCCACACTGTAATCCCTGCACTCAGGAGGCTGCAGCAGGAGGACTGCTATGAGTTTGAGGCCAGCTGGGGCTCCATAATGAGTTCAAGCCCAGCCTCAACTGCATAGCGAGACCCTGCCTCAAAAATGCAACAAACACAACAAAGCAAAAGCAATCAAAGCAAGCCTTCATAATGTCCACATAGGCTGGGTGTGCCATTTACATGTGATATCTATTCTAGAGTGTCGTGTAATTCTTTTGCAAGCTCTAAGGATCTGGTATACCCGAAAACGATTGTTTATGTGTCCCCTGGGCAACAGCTTCTTCATAATCCCCAGACAGGGGGCTTGCCGGCTAGCTCAGCTGTTGAAGCGCCTGCCTGGGCAAACACAGGCAGGCTGGTGGGACAGCAGTTCGATCCCCAGCTCCACATGCCACAGCAACCCGCCCTTAAGGCGGCCTGAGCCTCAAAACAAACAAAAAACCCGGACAGCAGATGGTTTCCCACTGCTGGAGTGCGAGCACTTGCTGAATTAAGCCTGGAGGCTTCTCAGTCTTTGTAACCTTGCTGCACAGGACTGAGCGAGCGGAGTCCTCATCCAGCTTTTGCTAGCAATCTTTCTCTCACATTGGAAATCGTGCCTTCTCTCGGAAGCCTCGCAGGGCTAAACGCTCACGTGCTCTAAGTTGCTGTGAATGCCTGAGTGGCTGGCCCCTTCGGTAGCCCCGAGCCTGCGCAGTCAGTGGGCGCGCAGAGACAAGGCCTGCAGCAGGCCAGCTGCGCCTGAGGTTTGCCGTCAAGACTTCCTGCGGTGTCTGCGGAGCGTCGGGCAACACGCCTGAGAGCCTGAGAGAGTCAGTCTTCCCGTACACACAATGGGAACAGTGACAGCAGTAATCCCTTGTGCCTGTCTTACGGAGGTACACAGCACAGAACAGACGTCGCGTGCATCCGCACACACTAAAAGTTGCGTCCTTCTAAGCGTCGGATCCTGCGGGCTCAGGAGACTTGCCTGTTGGAGGAGCTGCTTGGCCTTGGTGCTTCCTTTTATGGTGAAAAGAGCGAAGGGCTCTGGGCCCGGGGCCCCGTGCACCGTGACTCTGTGGCTCTGCACACACCTTCTCTCTTCGGTGTTAAACATCTGTCAAGGAAGATCACATCATTTCTTACTCATTCCAAGCGACACGATACAGGAGAGCTCACATGTGGGAGCACATACAGGGACCCTGGATGCAAACCGGAGCCCGCTTGGAACCCGGCACACACTAGTGTGGTAGAGAAGACCACGACACCCTCCTTGTTAGCCCAGGAAGAATATTTAGCATCACACCCAAGTATTAATTTCTTTTGAAACACAGCATCTTTTTTCCCCCATAATAACTAGGGACTGCTATTTCCTGAAATGCTTATTAGTCCTTACTTATGAGCTGATTTATTCTAAAATACCTGTTGAGTTCCATCTCCTCCAGGAAACTGGGACAGAATCTTTAATAGATGACAAGTGCTCCGCCCTTAGAGCTCACCATCCCGCACACAAAGAATCCTACAGAAAGCATTATATGTCGCTGGGAGGAGAGGGTAGGTGCATAACCCCTTCCCAATAGGAAGCCATTCGTGGAGGGCTTACACTGTGTCAGACCTCATGCCCTGCCCTAGAGGACTAGGGACATACAGTATACGATCCTTGTCCTCAAGGGCCCCCAAGTGAATGAGACAGCCTCAAGAGCACGTGGACCATTGTAGGAGCATGGCGAGCTCCAAACGAAAGGGCCTAGTTCCAGTCGGAAGGCAATAATGAGCTCTTCTGTTGAGACAGGGTCTTGCTATGTAGTCAGGCTGGCCTGGACCTGCTGTGTAACCCAGGCTGGCCTCACAGTCACAGTGATCCTCCTGCCTCAGCCTCCCGAGGGCTGGGATTACAGGGGTGCACCACCCTGCCTGGCACGGGGGGTCTTCTTGAAGATGGTACCACCTAAGCAAATCTTGAAGGGCCCCGTGTGACACAGCAGGTGAAGCAGGAGACGGAAGAATAGCAGATTCAGCAAATGTGCTAAGGTCAGCGGTAGCCTAAGGCAGGACTTCCTGAGGACGGGGTGAGGCCCGCGGCTCACACGGGGGCGGCAGCGGAGGGAGGGAGAAGGCCAGGGTCGCAGGCTAGGCAGAGCCGCGCAGTACACAGACCTTTGTCTAACTGGCTGACAGTTAGACCAAAACTGCCGGAATGGAAACCTGAGGGTTGACGTGTCTCAGCATAGATGGCTTTTAGTTTTAAAATTGTAGTGGAGTAAAGAGGCTGCCCATTTTACTATGCTGAGTAACCAGTCTTAAAGATGTAAAAAGTTGCCAACATTTACAAAGAACTAGATGTTCTGATTCTCTTGAGAAAACAAAGATCTGGTAACACTGCATGGCAACAAGTGGCTGGAGCCACCCGCTGGTAACAGACTCCTTCCAGGGAGCCTCTGTCTTGCCTAATTACAATCATTTACACTGCATCCTTGTCACACTCAGGAGCTGGGCTGTGCTACCCCCACAGCATTGGAAGACCAGAGAAGGGTTTTTAATGCGAAATGACAGCATCACATTTAGGTTTTACACAGATCTGCCTGGGAGGCTCCCCAGGAAGACAGGCAGAAGAAGACAGATTCAGAGGAAAAGAGACCAACTGGGAATCAGTTTCTTAGCCAGGTGGGAGTGAGTGAGGGCCAAGGCAGGAGGGACAGAGATGAACAGATGTGAAAGACACAAATGGGCCCGAACTGTTAGTCTTAACAGGGGGACCGAGAGGAGGGGAGACGCCCAGCCCCCGCAAGAGTGATGCCCTCCACGGTCAGACAACGTGTCACCCTGCCTGGGCCGCTGGGAGGGATGGCGTGCTAGACTACAGAACTAAACATTTGCTCTTTCTTCCCAGCTCCTGCATACAGCACCCACAGCCTCGCAATCTCGGGAATGATGAAAGCATTAGCTGGCCTTGCTTCCCTCTGGTCTTCTCTTGTCCCCCAGCCCCAGTCAACAGCTAGAGGACTCGTGGCTGAGACAGTGGAGGCGTGGTTAAGCACTCTTATGGCCTCTGCCAGGCCTCAGGAGGGGCAGGGTGGAGACTGAGCCCAAGGCTTGAGCAGTAGCGCCTACACAAGGAAACCCCGTGAAGCCCTAACTGATGGGGTTCGGACAGCTCCGAGTCACTGAATGGGTGACGTTCCAGGAGGGTGGCCCGGGGAGGGGGATATTACGTGGGAAACTAATGAGTCCTACACGTAAAGTGCTGGTAAGAGCCCAGGGCCGGCCACTGTTGCCACTACTCCCACAGCCACCTAACAGCTCTTACTGACCACCTTGCTGTACACGCCAAAGCCCACCTCCAGCGTGGCAGTTCCTGCACATGCGCTCAGTGAAACAGAACTTAATTACCGAAGAGGCTGGCATGGTAGTGCTGGAGGAATTTTCTTCCATTCTCCGGCTGTTTATGAATAAACTAGAGATCTCCAAGGCTTCGTTGTGAAGGTTTCGCAGTTGAAGATGCCGGTATCCTGGAATAACGGAGAATCGGGACAAGCCCATTAGTTGTGTGCTGTGTGCGCTGCGAGGGACATGAACCCCGGAGGTCACTACCTTACACTAGGCAGAGGGTGGATGGCGCACACGAACAGCAGCACCTGGGCCCTGGGAGAGCTGTCCCTGAGCATGGGTTTTCGGCCACCTGAGTGGTAATTAAGTCATCCAGTGCTGCTTCCATTAGACTCAAATGGTAAGATGAAAACAGCCTCAAAAATCAGCAGGAAAATATGATCCTTTTCATACGAGGACGTTGACTGTCTCTGTTTTATCAGGGGCTGACAGCCCATCTTCGAGCAGCTTTCATAATAAAGCATTCCAATAACTGCACTGATTTAAGTAAGTCATGGCATGAATCTGCCAGTGGAAAATGGACTACAAAGTGGGGACGTGAAGACGGGCTGCAGTTCCGTGCAGAGCGCCTGCCTAGCATGGGCGAGGCGCTGCGTTGGATCACCAGCACCAGGAAAGAACAAAACACCCTGGCCAAACGGAAACAAGTGGTAAGCCACTTACTATGACCTCGAAGTGAACAGTTGCTCACTATATAGATCAGAAAATGAAAATCGTTAAGTTGTAAAATGAGATTAGTGGGAAGACTACTTGTTAAAAGCATGTTTGTAGGCTCGTGTGTCATTTACATGGCAGAAAAGTAAAGCCTGCAAAAGCTATGCACCTAAGAAGATTACGTTGGCAAGACAGAAAGAGGTGGATAATTTTTTCTGCAACAGGATCTTACTATAATAGGACAGGCCACACTCACAATTTTTAAACTCACAGCTTGTTCCAAATGTGCAGTTTTCCTACCTCAGCCTTCTGAGTGTTGGGGTTACAGGTGCGGGCCACCACACCCCCCAGTAAGAGGCTAATTCCTTCCTTTTTGTGGCTGGCTCAGCCCACACTGGGGCGGGCTGGCACGGCATGTGGAGCCAGGGACTGCACCAAGGTCCCTGTGTGCTTGCCTAAGCAGGCGCTTTAGACCGCCGAGCTATCTTGCCAGCCCACATGAGGATAATGCTTCAAAACTTGTTTTGGTTCTCTGTCCTTTCTCATACTTCTCTAATCATGGTTGCCAGGCTCAAGCTGTGAGAGTCCGCCTCCCGCTGGCCAGGCCATGCACACACTGAAGCCTAACACCCATGTCTCAGAAGGTGGCTACCTCTGGAGAGGCTCTGTCACACAGTAATTAAGTTAAAATCAGGGTGGGAGGTTCTCATCCAACCACACCGGTGTCCAGACCAAAGTAGGAAGTTGAGCTAGCCAAATAGCTCGGCGGATTAAAGAGGCTGCAAGCAGGCCCAGGGGCTGGGGGTTCCATCTCTGGGCCTGCTGTGCCAGTCTTGCCCCTGGGGTGCGCTAAAACGTCAGTTGAGACTGGGCATGGTGGCGTGTGCCTGTAATCCCAGCTCTTAAAAGGCTGTAAACAGGTGGATCACTATAAGTCCGATCTAGTAGTGTCCTGAACATCCTGTAGACCCTTCCCTAAAATACAGAAAAAAAAAAAAAAAGAACTAGGGAGTTATGACATAGAGATGCCAGATGTGCACACCAAGCGGGGAGGGGGGGGACACACCAAGAAGAGAAACTTCTCGAGAGACCAAACCTGGTATTATTGAGATTTTGTTCTTCTAGTTGTCAGACAGAATTCTCTATGGTATTTTGTCACAGAAACCCTAGCAAATAAATGTGATGATTAAGAGCCACTAGTATAGTAATAAGGGAAATGGGAAGTGACAAAAAGTAGGAAACTGGTGGGCATAGTGGCATATTCCTGTAATCCTAGCCTTGAGGGAGGCAAATGCAGGAAGATCAAGAGTTCAAGTCCTGCCTGGGCAATTTGAGGTTGTACCTCAAGGGCTGGGGATTTAGCTCAGTGGCTTATGCGCCTGCTTGAGACTGTACCTCAAAATAAAGCAAATAGAGGGCCAGCCAAGTAGCTCAGTGGATTAAAGTACTTGTAGGCAGGCGCAGGGGCTAGGGGTTCGATCCCCAGGCCTGTTGTGCCGGCCCCGCCCCCAGGGTGTGATGAGACAGCAATTGAGACTGGGCCTGGTGGCACATGCTTGGGAGGCTGTAAAAAGGGAAGCACTTTTTTTTTTTGTGGAACCAGGGATTGAACTCAAGCCTTTGTACTTGCCAGGGAAGCGCTTATTCCACTGAGCCATCTCCCCGGTCCCAGGGAGGCTGTAAACAGAAGAATGTCTAGGAGTCCAATCTAGTAGTGAGATCCTGAACACCCTGTAGACCCTTCCCTAAAATACGGAAAAAAGAAAGCAAAACAAACAAACAAACAAACAAACAAAAAAGCACATTCAAAATAAAACAAATAGAAAGGGCTGCGATTATAACTCAGTGCTAGAGCGCCCGAGGGTCCGATCCTATGTACTACCACCCCTGCACAAAAGAGAAAAGTACTGTGTTGGTGGAGCTTGGAGGATGACAGTGTGAGTGTGGCGGGGGTTGGGGGGTACAAACTTAGTACCTGGGTACCCAAGGTAGCCAGCACAGTGGGCGCCTTTGAGAGCCTGTTAGAAGGGTGGAATCTCCAGCCCCGCCCCAGACCTACTACCTCAGGCTCTGCTTGTCACTATCCAGAGCCCAGGCAAATGTGCATCGGAGTTCAAAGACAATGCACGATATGCAATGCATTAATTATTGAAACTGTGCTACTAATCGGTTTTGAAACTGTCTCATTGCTATTTGTTTCTCAATAAAATTATTTAAAAAATAAAACAAAAAATGCATCATACAAAAAACAAAAAACAAACAAAAAAATAAAGGCAACGCACAGGTCAGGTTCAGGAGCCCAAGGTCCGTGGCGTGGCCTGCGAAGTCCGGCCAGAAGCCCAGCGCCCCCACTTTGCCAGAACTCTCCATGTAACTGGGGCTCTACGGCTGACGCCCACCCTGGCCTCCAGGCCTGGGATGCCGCCAGGCGTGACTTGGGAATTTCACTCTACCTCGCTTTAAGGCCTTGAGGGGGATGATTCTCTGAGCTGTTATTGCCGAGCTGTTATTTTCCACGACTGCAAAACGCAGAAACACAAGATCTTCAAAGTGAACCCGGAACAGAAACTGCTCGCTCCACATGGGGTTCAGGGTGTTCCGGTGGATGGGCTTTGTGCGGAAGTGGCAGCTGTCCAGGGCCATGCCCAGCACGTCCACCTCAATGCACGGGCTTCCAGTGCTGTTACCAGGACACACGTTCTGGCCAGAGACAATCTGGAGGGCAAGAGGAATCAGTCATGGAAGCTGACAAAGAAGCAAAGACAACTTCTGCTCCTCACCACTTGATCTGTGAAGAACAGTGGAAGAGTCCGTAAATAATTAACTGCTAAAAAAATAAAATGGTTGTAACTGTAATTGGGCAATTGCATGGCTGGAATCAAGCAAAAAGCCTAATTTTTTCAACAGCATTCATTTAATTATGGTTTTTCAACTGTCAAACTTTCGAGTACCTTAGAACAAAGCGATATCAATGGAATTAACTTTCTCACAGAGGCTGAAAGAGGAGGGATCTCAGGCCATGTGGCCATGAAGGTGTTGCAGACACTGTTGCCAATGTTGGTAGGAACGTATCACACGTACAACTGCAAAATACTCCCTGAATAGTGTTGCAGCAAGACACAAGATGTTAAAATTCATAATTAATTTATAACCTTCTGATAACACATACTGTTAACTCTAGCTAAACCTTATCGTACAGAATGAGAAAAAAATCAGTTTGGATGGTTAGAAAATCTGTGAATAGGTTATCTCAGGAATTTGGGTGTGGTGACAAGGCTTCCTTCAGAAAGACAGAGAGAGGGACAAGAGTTACGGTGGAGAGAAGAGGAGAGCCTGTCTCTGTCCTTTCCCTAGGAGGCGCCTGGACTCTGTTCTTTTAGCTGAGAGGAAGGGAAAGGATGGGGAAGTGGAGACAGCTGCCAGGTTCTTGCAGTATAGGAGAGTACGTGGGGATTTGACAGTGAGGGGAGGGTATGTGGGGATCTGCCCATTTTGGATTTACATGCTAAAAGGAAAAAAAAAAAAAAAAAGGCCCAGGAATGAGAAAATGTGAACTCTGTGTAGAGGCAGGAAAGATGCCTCGTGGCATCTGCGCACTGGCCTACGTTTGGTCTTCCAACTTGTTGGAGCCTAGGAGGAGCAGAGAGAGCCAGGAGCTCAGTTTGTATGGGGCGGCACTGAGTTGCAAGGCCCCGTGCTCTGGAGGTCGAGTGACCATCATGAGCAGCTGAGGCGGGGCTCGCGGAGGACGCCGCTGGGCTCTGGCGGGCACACCCGCCGCAGCCACTGCCTTCTGTGAGGTAAACACAGCCTCCTGGGAACTCAGTCTGCGTGGACTAGGACAAGGCAGGCTTCTAACGCCTCAGGACGCAGTGACAATAGTGGCTCTACTTACAGTTAGAGAATACACAGCAGGCTCCAGATTGTCTAGATCTCTTTCCAGTGGAGAAAACTTCTGATACATGGGACAGCTCTTGTCCCAAAGAACTGGTGGCTTCAAAACATAACCGCAGCCACCATTTGCCTCAAACATGGCGGCGTTTAGGTGCAAAGGGAGATCTGCAAAACAGAGGAAGCCAACCTGCTGATTACTTTGTTGTGGAAGTGTTACATTTTCTTTAATGGTGAAAAGAACATTGCATCTATTTTCTTCTTCTTCTTTTTTTTTTTGCGGAACCAGGGATTGAACTCAGGCCCTTGTGCTTGCCAGGGAAGCGCTTACTCCACTGAGCCATCTCCCCGGCCCTTATTTTGTCTATTTTTCAGAAGCTCAAGTACGAAGAAGAGAAAATCAGCCCCTTGTTCCCGGGCCTGATGAATGAATGCCCACATGCCAGGTAGTGGCAGGCACCAGAGATACAGCAGGCAACAGAGGAACAATCCCTGTCCCCTTGCAGAACACCCTACATATGGGAATATTCAGTGTTCCTATTCTAACCCAGCAAGTACAAGTTTACAATATTCATCTGAAGGTTCTTGTAAAATACCTCATTCTATGCTGAATTTTGGGGTAATGTCATTTTCTGAACTCCAAACACCAAGCTATGCAGGCAAGAATAGGGCCAATTCTTGCTATTTAAGGAAAGGTAAAATCTTAACTACCCAGGAAAGAATAGCCAGAAAAACAGCTTTTTGTTGAAATCTCAGGTTCAACCCATAAATTACTTTTAGCTTTTTTTTCTATTGTAGTTAAATATGAAAAAAACCATCATCACATACGACTCACATCATGTCCACAATCCCCTCAATCATAAATTTTAGGAATCCTCACAAAGGCTTGGAGTCTGCTGTGGCCAGGTTTTCTTTGGCACCGCTGCCTGACGAGTGGCGGGCTTCCTGCACTATGTCTAGGCTCTTTCATACTTCCCATCTGATGGCTCAAGTCTGTATAAAAGTCGCCCAAATGAGCAAAAGGTTTACGAGACACACCTGTCACACGTTCCTGCCCTCTGCTAGATCCCTCCCATGTGCGGAATGAACTTTGCCGCATGGCCCGACACCAGGGGAAAGCGCGGGGAGCGCCTTGGTGGACGAGGGGCTGGCTCTGCGCTTACATCTTGTGTGCACACTGCTTCTGTGCAGCAGAGCTTGGCTAGGACTGTGGGCGGAATTCTTGGGGCAAAGTGTCTTAGACATACACGAGCCGGTGGGGCCACCCTCCTTCCCTGTCAGGCACTCGCCCGGCACCCACGCCAGTGTGGGTGCGACGGATTCTTGGGGGCTGTGCTCTCTCACCTGCAAGTTCAGAAAGTGTTTTCCCGGCCACTGTGACAGGACAAGGCAGGCGCGGTGCAAGTGGCTACGAGAGTGAAGCAAAGTTGTGCACAGGAAGGGGGTAAGCAGGGCACGGCACACGCGGGCTGAGGGTCCTCATTCTGGACATGGGAAGCGCTCCAAAATATGAAGCTTTCTGCGAGCTTCCCACGCCTGACCTCGGATGATGGGCTGCGGTCCTAACAGATGAACACTAACATATGCAAAACTACCTTCAGGCTCTGGATGTGTGTGAAACACACACTCTGTGTTTAGATTTCGACCACATTCTCCAGATACTTCACTATACCTATTCCAAAATTTAAAAAAATCTCAATCCAAACACTTCTATTTCCAAGCCTTTTCATAAAGGCCACTCAACCTGTATTCCTAGCAGGGCAATAGTGAGTCACACTTACTGATTATATCTCAGGTTTAAAGCCTGATCTTACTGGCACTGCACCTACTTATTAGCTTTCCAAAACCTTAGGGTACTTTGCTTGACTAAGATCTCATTTGGTGACTCAAGATATAAAACATGGAGTTGTTAGGTTTGAAACAAGAATAGGACCTCAAATCCAGCCCTTTTACTGTTTCCTAGGAGTGGTCTCAGAACTTCATCTGGGGGCCAGCCACATAGCTCAGCAGAGTAAAGCACCTGCAAGCAGGCACAGAGGCTGGGGGTTCAATCCCTGGGCGTGCAGGGCCAGCCCCATCCCCAGGACATGGTGGCACACCCTGTAATCCCAGCTCTTGGGAGATTGTAAATAGGTGGATCACTATGAGTCTGATCTAGTAGTGAGACCCTGAGCACCCTGTAGACCCTTTCCTAAAATAAAAAAAAAATAAATAAAAAAGAACAACTGGGACTATAGTTTAAAGTCGATGTTCTAACCAAGTGAAAGAAGTGCAGGAGTGAGTGAACCAGTGACTATTGTTTTCTGTTCATTTAAAAATCTTGTATTGAGTAACACCATTCTCATAGTATTTTTCCATATTTTTGGATTCTTAAAACACCATTAAAAAAAAGCACAACTTTTGTTCACTAAAATGTAACAAATTCTGTTTTACAAAGAGGCGTTTCCAAGCACTTCCCTGGCAAGTGCAAGGGCCTGCGTTCAATCCCCATTTCTGCCAAAAAAAAAAAAAAAAAAAAAAAAAAAGAGGTGTTTCCTCCGATAGGAGCTATCTGTTTACATACTTGGCGGTCCTCTATACGAGGTAGGAACCGCTCTGCCCTGGATGGAAAGAACCCAGAGCGACTGTTGCCAGCAGTAACCAGGCGTTTGCATACCAGCCCCAGATCAGTTTCCACTGAGAATTAATTTTGTTGAGTGTGGGGTTACTATAAGCTGGTTCCCGATCACTTCTACCTTCTTGAAGTTGACAGAGTCAGCAGGAAGCTTCAAAGCAATGGCCTCCCTGTGTTCACACAAAATCATCTGGGGGCATCAGGTCCTCCGACACCCAGGAAATGGCCAGGAGAGGACCCCTGACCCATGTGAGGAGTCTAGAGGCCCAGTGCGAGGCGCCATGGAAAACCAAAGCACTCCTAACCTTGGGATTCTTTCAATAATTAGCAAAGGGTGATTTCAATGTTTTTGCTTATCCGTCTATTGGGCTTTGTTGCCCACAAACAGCAAGTGCCCAGAAGAGCTCTGGACCTACTATCAAGAAACAGGTTCAGACTGCAGTGGGCTTCGAGGGACAGGCTGCTGAGCACTGGCTGTGTGCAAGGTATTGATCCAAGCTGGGCCCCAGTTCGCAGGTGTGACTGCCTTTATAGATGGCCACCCTGATGCTGCATGTAAGGGGAGAAGTTTAATCAGCCACATCAAGTGCTGCATGGAGTCCCAAGAGGCTAGATGACAGCCCTCTTCCCTGAGTTGGAAGATAAGCAGAAGAGCCTGAGGATGAAACACACAGCACAGACATCTGCCTTCGGTTTGATTCCAAGAGGCATGAAGCCTTCCAGAGTAGTATGTGCAGGGGCAGCTGCACTTCAGCATGCTGCCAAGCTTTGGGGTGACCCGGGCAGTGGCAACTCCTGGTGGCCCCTTCAGCCTATGCTATTAGTGGAGCCAGTGTGTCTGCGCCAGTCCTGGCAGTTCAGGAGGAGAGGCAAGTCCAAAACCAGATGCACTTCCAATTCCCTGAGAAAACCACTTTCCTAGTTATTTCAGCAGACTTAAAGTATTTCAGTATCATAATAGCCAAAGGCACCAGTGACACAGGCCTCAGACCAGGTCAGGGGTGTGAATCTACAAGCCACTCTGCAGAGATTAAAAAAGAAATGGAAAATAAAATTTTACAACATTGGAAGTATCCCACCATTTCTTCTGTTTGTGGGTCTGAATCCTACTGTTTTCATAACTTACCAACACACTGAAGGAGTTTGCGGAGGGCTGTGTGCCGGGTGCTATGCTAAGGGTCTCCTGTGTCACCTTAGGTAGTTTCAATGGAAAAAAGTAAGTATACTAGGGGCAAGACAAGCCGTGCTGGTGTCTCTGAGTCTCTGGGACCTGCCACAACAGGCAGGGGCCAGACGGCTCGCTGGCCCCAGAGCTCAAGCTGTGGTTTGACCTCTTCCAGCAGCAAGGCCGTGCTGCGGGTTTTTGTTCAGCGGCTGGTGAGGAGGGTCCGATCCAGTTCACACTAAAGGAATAAGCGCCGCTGCTGTTTTGCTGTCAGAGGGAAAACTGGGCAGCTGAGCGAGCTCCTAGGACGCACGCCTCACCTGCTGCTTCCTGGCCTTCTACAACGGCTGCCCCCTTCATACCCAAGTAGGAGCAAAATGCTTTCTCCTTCAAACACTTGGACACTTGCATTATCATTCTAAGTCATTCAGCAAGCTTGAACAAACAAAATAACCATTTTGTTATCTCTTGCTCATCTGAGAAATAGATTGTAAGGTATCACTTCTTTTTAAACCTTTTTTGGGGGGTTACTGGGGATCAAACTTGGGACCTTGCACTTTCCAGGAAGGAGCTGGTGTCACTGAGCTATCTCCCCAGCTCCCAAGGTACCACTTCCTTGGGTTGTTCTGATTCAGTGGATAATAGGAGTCAAGAATTCATCACAGTGCCTGGTCGTTTGTGCGTGCAGTAAGTGGAACCTTTCACTCTGGAGTTTTAGAATTCTGGTCAGTCTCAGCAACAGCAGAAGAAATGGGATTGTTACTTTCTGTTCACACAGTTCATGCACCTGCTTTCCTATTATTAGTCTCCTCCGTAACTGACCAGTATTCTCCATTTCCAAGGAAGGAAAAGAAGATAAAAGCGCTTTAATTTCCACAGTGCTTGGAGGGGGCACTACTGGTTTTTGTTTTGTTTTGTGATACGCAGGGACTCACACATGCTAGGCAAGCGCTCTACCATGGAGCTATCTCCCCAATCTGATCGTGCCTTTTACAATTTGAGACACGGACCGTGTATGTTGCCCACCCCAGCCTTGAACTGGGTTCAAGTGGTCCTTGCTTGAGATATCGTACTGGCAAGGGCCGTACGTGTGTGTCGCGATGCCTTGCGAGAGCAGCTGCAGAGCGAGGCAGGGCCAGTAAGCAATGCTAGGAAATCCCAGAAGGTCTGTAAAGTCAAACTAGTTACAATTCTGTGAAGAGCAGTCCATGTTTAAAAAACGCTTTATATGGGGCCAGGGAGATGACTCAGTAGAATAAGCGCTTGCCTGGCAAGCACAAGGGCTTGAGTTCAATCCCTGGTTCCGCCAAAAAAACAAACAAACAACAAACAACAACAACAACAAAAACCCAAAAACTGCTTTCTAGAGAGGCCATGGCCAAGCCCCTTAACGGACGCCCTTTGTTGCACTCTTCTATTGCCTTCACTCCAAGCCTTAGAAGCACAACTCGGGCTCAAATTCACTTTCCTTGTCCATTTTCTGTATTTCTTTCCTCGCACATGGTGTGCCCCTGGCTGGATTTCGCCCCTCTGAAAAATGCTCGTGGAGCCCCACTTCCTAGAGCTGCCACGAGCGAGGCGAGGGCCCAGGTCATTACCGTCTGTCTGGTAGTTGAGAGCCACGAGCTGTATCCCGTGCAGCCAGAACAGGAGCGGGTTGGGGTTGGACGAGTCGATGCGGGTGGCGGCCGGGTAGGTCCTCAGCAGCTGGCCGGCGGTGTGCTGGATCAGCTTCTGAGAGTACCTGCGACACAGGCGCTTGGCCGCGTTCTCGTTCAGCGACGAGATGTGGTAGCATTTGGGCGTGCGAATGATAGCACTGAGGGATGTGGTCGGGTTGGGAGGGGACGGAGCTTCCTCCCAGGTCTGTCGAATTCCTTCGTAGGGACCTGGGCGCCGCGAAAGAGCAGGCTCGGGTTAGGGCAGGAAACGTTCCTAGCGCGCAAGGCATCAGAATGCGCCTGGCCTTTCCCTGTGAGTTACCTCACCCCTTGAAGCAGCAGGGCGGCTACAGCGCCACTGGAGAGCGCGTGCTTGGCCTAAGCAAGGCCATAGGTTCAATCCCCAGGGCCCAGCATAAAAAAAGAAAACAGTAAAATAAAATGAGGGGAACAGGACAGATTTACATTAAAAGCTGGAAGTCCTTGCTCTCAGTACCTCATCTGCCCCGTCGGGACATTTGCACAAATACACGACAACATATGTACAAGCGTGTAAAGCTTACAGGGCCGGGGCGATAGCTCAGAGGCATAAGCACCTGCTTGGCAAGCGCAAGGTCCCAAGTCCGATCCCTGGTACAACAACAACCGCAACAACAAAAACCCACAGGAAGCAACCCAAATGTATCAGTGACGAGTGGTTAAATAAGTTACAGTGTATTCACATAATGGAACATCACATAGGCATTAAAGATAGTAAGATAAGTGTAGAGGAGGTGGTGTGAAAATTTATAGCACAGATGAAAGTTGGACAAGTGTGCTCAGTTATGTTCCATTTGGATGATCTTAAAAAGGATCTTGTTTTTTGAATAAAACACAATAAGCTTAGTAGTTACCTCTGGAAGTAGTATCAGTACACTGAGTGGAAAAGACTTTTAATAATATTCTGTTATTTGAGTTTGTAACTACGAGAATTTATTACTTTCACAATAGAAAGTAATTAGAAATTAGAAAGAAAATGGATATATCTTCTGGGTAGGAGTGTAGTTCCAAGAACCATTAGAACATTCCAAGGTGCTTCCAATTTTTAATGTTGAGGCAGCTAATGCTAAAATATCTTCCGTTGAATGTTATTTTCAGTGCATTAAAAGCATAAACTACCAGCTAAGTATTATGCCACATTTACACCATAGGAGCACGTATGAAAATCAAGGTCTGCAAATTCTGAGCAAGAGCTTAGACAGCACGACATCTGAATCCTTCAGCACGAGGAATGACCAAAGATACTGTACGAAGGTGACTTTACTTTTTCCAGATGTTTTGTTGAGTGACGCCGTCTCCCCCGGGCTCATTCTGCCCGGATTGCTGCCAAAGATGGACTTCCTGCTCTTCCGTTCTTTTCCTCTGCTCGAGCCAGATGCGTTCAGAGTTGACAGGCCTGTTCCCATAAAATGAAAATAAATAAGCCAAAACTGCAGGCAAGGGATCTCAACATTTTCCATCCCTGTTAATGTTTATTTTGAAGTCCTGTTACTCTCTTGCAACCAAGCTCAGAAGGTCTATTAGAACTTTTGGCTCGGGTAATAACAGCACTACCAGAAAGCATAGTAAACATTTTTTCACTGTTGACAAACGCAACAAGATTTACATGCTTATTGGAGAATAATTATAAAATCTCTCCTCTTTCTCTTCTCTCACTCTCCT